GAAGAGGACAGTGGAAGACTTGACCCCTATCGAGCTGCTAGACCGAGCATCAGCTTGGGGTGTCTAAGTTTGAGGATCTCGGAGGAAGAAGGATACTTCGAACACGAGATTATGTTGTTTCTAGGTACACTTGGGTGTTTCCGATGTTGAAAGATCCGCAAATGGTGCAAAATATTTGGGATGTTTTAATAGCGGAGTTTAGAGGCTTAGAGGGGTTTGGAGATTGGCCGACGAGGCTGCACGGATGAGACCTTCTTTTGCTCCTCATCTGCCAAGGCCAAGGAAACCCGATTTCCGAAATTTATATCGAGCCAGTTCCTGAATATTAAATCGAAACCTTCCGTGCTCCAGCTCGACCCGAATCGCGCACAGTTATGAAGATAAATCTGCAGCGCCGTCCAAACACGCTGAAGCTGCATGTTCAACATCCTAACGGGAATCACGTAGGATCGCGATAAATTGAAACGAGTGATACGTCGTTCAGTTTTGACTTCCTGCCCACGAGTAAATCCTTGCATCCCCTAATTTACTCCACTTCACCTAGCCCTATTCTTCGAACTGGATCATTTCCTCCTGCTCCTATGATCTGTTATCCCTCGATTGCTAATATATCATAATTATCAAAACAATATTCGCCTTGATAATTTTACCTGTCACACTCACTTGTGAACAAAAATTCGTTTATTGTTGTAAAAAGAAATATTCATAAAATTGGAAATTAATAGTAAATAGATAGGATCAAGGTGGAGATTTATGCCAGACAAGAGGAACGTCTGATTTTAACAGAAGGAATACATCGTCCCACGGAACTGTTCCAATTGGAACGTCTGATGGATTGAAACGGTCGCAGGACGATGAAGAGGAAAGCTGGCAGTTTTCTCTTGCAACGAGGAAGATTGAAAAGGCGGGACAGCGGCGCGGATGTGCAACACGGCCAACTGAAAGGATCGACGATCCATCCAGTGGCTCCAGTCCCAAGAACAGAAATTGTTACGTGCCCGCTCCGTCGTCGTGATTCGAATGCTCATGCGTATCGACCGCGGTCATCCAGCGACGAGAGGAGAGACAAGAGAGTTCCGTGGCGTGGCTCGAGCGGAGAGCTTTCTTCGACGCGTGTATACTTACATGTGTGCCCCCAGGTGAAACACACGCGTACAGGGTGTCCCGCAATGAGTGACGCGGACGAAACGTAGCACGATTCTACGCGTAAAAACGAACACGAAACCTGGTATAACATTTTTCTCTACGAGGCTTCGTCATTTCGTCAGTTATCACGACGTAAAGATTCGTTGGGTGGCACCCAAGATTCGACAACCACGAAATCGTGCACGAACCAATGCTAATACCTGGACAAATAGAATAGCAAGGTAGTCCAAGTGATTGCATTCCCAATGTTGATAAATGCAAATGATAGAAACCTCCGTTCGTCGGTACCCCACCACCGGGCAGCTTACTTAAGCGACGCGCGCCCCGAGAATTTTCAAACGCCATTTCCACCGAAACGGAGCCCCGAATTAGAAAAGTGCATTTCACGTTTTCGATCGGTTTTTTCGCGTAGAATCCGCTAAACGGAGCCCCGAATTAGAAAAGTGCATTTCACGTTTTCGATCGGTTTTTTCGCGTAGAATCCATCGCGCTCGGTTTTATCGCTCATTACGGGACACCCTGTATCCGCGCACGCATACAGACGATTGCTATGCCGTGGTAGTTTGGCGGGACGATGAAATCCGTGCTGGTAGAGAGCGCGTGCACACGAACGAGCTCGTCAAAGGCGATTGTCCGTCCACGCGGAAGCAGAGCCACCGCTCGCGAGCATCTATCCCTCGATCGCCTCTCACTCGCAGAACACGTACACCTCGTGTCCCCGTACACGTTCCTACGGCTCTTCTTGTATGCCGGTATTTTGGCGGCGGTGCGTGGATGTGCCAGTTACCTCGCCTCACGCCACTCTGCAACGTCCAAATTATCGAATAGGAGAGGCAGCCACGATGCTTTCGCGACGAACATTCCAAGGAGCTCGTCTCGATTCCGATCGATGACACCTGCCGGTGAAATGTAGTCTACGTGGTGCTTTTCGGTGGGTGGGTTGGGTTAGGCTTGGAGGCTGGCTGCTGGAATGATCGATACCGAGGGTGTGTTCGCTGGATCTGAATTTTCTGGTTTAGGGTTCTCAGTTTGATGAAATTTTAAGGTTCCTTTCAGCCATGGTGCTCCTTTCGATCCAGATCAACGCGTCAATAGTGAGATGTACTCTCTGTCAGCCAGTGTGATAAGATTTAATAATTTATACCGTATCAAACAACTTTTCTAAAAACATCAGTCGAAAGAAGACCCTTAACTAGCTATTGACACCCAGTTTCTAGACACTTGGCAAGATATTGGGCCCACAAATCAGACTGGAGATTAAAAATACTACTGTTGCGTATCTAATAGACTAACATCGAGTTAATTGTTACATAAAATCAGATGCGACTTGATCAAAGAACAACTACAGTGCATCAGTGCATCAGCTAAGCAGACTCAGTCAGACTCCGCGTCAGTAGTCAAGAATGAACAATATACAAGGTACAAAGAGATTCTCGATTAGAGAATCTTAGTGACATCACACGAAAACATCCCAGTGACATCACGCAAGACCAAATCTGAACTACGCTAAGGCACCATGAGCTAATCCGTCAGTCTCCTAACCAATCCACCCTGGGGTCCCAGGAAAGCTCCTCGGAGGCCTGAAATCGGAACACCTGAAGCAAGGCTGGAGAAACATGAGGAAAAGAACGAAGGGAACATCTCCCTCCACGGCAAAGCGATTTCTAGACGGCTAATTACGCTTCCAACTGGTATCGTTCGGGATCTATTTTAAGCGCAACGTATCTCGGGTAACGTTACGCGGGCTGGATAAGGCCCCTGAATACCGACAAGTGGATTCCGATTTTGCGTTTGCAACGCGTGCAAACGCTTACGTACACGCGAGTTACGGGTCGTTTTAATTCGATTGATCGTCGAGCAGGTAAGGAATAAGGTTTATGAATGCCGCTGGCATTGTCCGTGGGTGGGAGTGCCGAATATGGCCGCGACTGTCGAAGATGAGCGTGGCCGATCGAGACGATGCCGGGCGAATAAGGACGTGACGTAGTTATATCCTCGCGTATAAGGAAAAGCGGATTCGCTGTTAATAGTCAATATGCATTAGAGAAACAATGAGCGGATCTTCGTGCCGCACACGACGACGACGGCGACCGCAGGAGGATGTTGGTCGCGAGCACTCCGGACACCTTCTGGAAATTTTTAACGACCCAACAGGCGACTCATCGCGATGTCCTTCGAGGGAATTCCTTCGATGAGCTGTTTCGGCTGAACCTTGATCGATAAACACGCGTTTAGGTGTAACCAGAACCTCGTCTTCGAGGCTGGTACTCCGCTGATCGAAGCTTGCGCTCTTGCCATCGAAGGGTTCGTGTCGAGAACCATTTTCCTCGATTTTTGGCCATTTTTAGGTAACAGGGAATACAATCGAAGAATTCGTGTTGATTTTATTGAGCTTTCACGTATCGTTAGATAGTAGAGCACTGTAATAGGTAGAAGACTAATAGGCACTACTGTGCATGTACTTCCTGAAGTATAAACGAGAAAAATTGGAACAAATTGAAAATGGAGTATCTCCTTCCTCGCTTAAAATGTTGCTAAAATTAATTAGGGTTGTTTCTCATGTGAATTTTCCAATTTGTTTCGCTGGTTACTATTTTTTAGCATTTGTGGAATGTTTCTCGTTCCGATTGAGGAATCGGAAGTAGAATCGTACGTGATACGATTCTTCTTAAGAGTGGTTCTCAGTAGAAGATCAGACTTGAATTTTATGATTCATCGATAAGATATATTACGCGCTGTTTATAGCTGATAGAAGAACAGTAGTTCAGTCGGAATTTTTCAAGGTTAATGTTTAATTAAGGGATTGGAAAGAATAATTGGGACCAGGTATACATAGCCCACTAATTCCCAACAGAATTAAAAAGAATTGACCCAAAATATCACAATATTTACTCCGTACTATACAGTAAACAATGTTTCAGCTGAATCACGGTATGTCGATGACACACTGAATCTCACTGCCCGTTATCTAATGATTCATCTCGCAATTCGCAGTAAATAATCGTTGCATACGCTACGAGTACTTCCAGCTAAACATCCGAAATTCCCCACGGTGCTAAACAATGACTTCACTCGAACTCATCGAACCGGGGAGCAAATCAACCGCAGAAAGGAACACATCATCGCACGAGGAAGACCGAGACGAATTGTTCGGCAAAAATTACACGCGACTCGAGTACTAATCGACCCTTCACGAGCAAACTTTCCTCGTGAAAACAGACTGCGATCCATTGCGATTCCCTGGTCACAAAAATTCAATGCCCACCTAACCGTATTACCGGATAAAAATGACAACCTGGGAACATTCTCGTCTCTCTATCTACCTCTGACACCCCCGAGAACTCGATCTGACGGATAAACATGTAAAAGGAGGTTTACAAAACACAAAGGGGATTAAACGACCTGCCAACGACTCGGAGGAATCCGAGCTTATCGGTGTTTACCAGCTTCTACACGCGTCGGGTTATCATCTCGAGGATAAACGCGGTCAAGATACGAATAAACAAAGGACGCTACCCGGGACAGCTCGGCGTTCTCCAAGAAACCACTCTAGGAAGCTGAAGCGAAGACGAAAGAAAATGGAGGACTCGTGGAGGGGGTACAGGAAGAGGACATTGCAGCCGCGAGGAATAAAAGATGCGAGGCAGGGAGTCGTGGTAGACAGAAAAAAAGGAGAGGAGAGGAGATAATTGTCCGACGAGGGGGGCATCGGAACGGAATTATCGAGAGGGCGGAGAAACGAGGAGAGAGACGGAGTGAGAGAGAGAGGTGGGAAAAGAGAGTCGCGTACAGGGGGGCAGAAAGGTTCGAGAAAGGCAAGGAGGGGGCAGATTTATCGGCAGAAAGAGGAGAAAATGGAGAACGGGAGGAGACAGTACGGAGAAATCGAAGAGATGAAGGGACTGAGAGACGTTCTTGGTAACCGAGAAATGAAATTCGAAACGATAAATCGGGCACTTGCAAGATAAAGAGAGATAAAAGGAGAAACCGTGAGAGGCAGAAATTGAAATTACGAGGAAGGCAAAAATGAAATGTATAATGGTCTAGCATAGTGCAGAATAGTACATACCTGTCTTAATAAATAGTAACAAATATCAAAGATATAGGTATATATATGGGACAATTGAAATTAATTGAGAAAGATCACTATACCCAAGAAGGTGAAAGGAGTTGGACTGTACTTCGATCAGATTATTTTTCTTAATATGACAATACCTGCAACATAGTACAATTTTAAAATATTGTATATGGCGATATTTTTTTATTACCTTTAACTTAGTCTGCTATTTAAAAGAACATCCAGTGTTCAAAATTATTCATCAAAATCGGATGATGAACATCTGTCATCGACAAGTTGACCAAGACTTGACGATACTCAAAAACCGAATAGGAAAAGAAGAAATTAATTCCAAAAGCAGGTAATTACCACTACAATTACCAAGACTATCAGACTATTGAATATGACTATCAAAGACTACTATTCGACTAAAAACGTAACTAATAGTGTAATTGATCTAGTTGCTCGCTATAGATAGTTGGTTCTAGTGTTGAAAAAGGATTTAAGGGGAGAGCCGCACGTAACATTAAGAGAAAGAAGTTCCAAAAATAGCAAAACTGAAACGAATACATTAAGGGGCCTGAAAATAACGATGGAAGGGAATGGTTTCACCGATAAGGGGGCACGGAACGAAAGATGACGAGAAGAGGAAGAGGTGCCCGGCGGGAAGGAGCGAACCGGGGACAGGGCGGATTTCGAATGCGTCGCACGGATCGCTACGAAATCTCGGATTCTATTAACGGAGAAATTATAACGGATTGACGGACGCAGGGAATGGATGCACAGACGGATGGACGGAGCCGCCTGTTGTCTCGCGAAAGATTTCTCTTGAATCGTAAATACCGATCAATCGCTTTACCGGTTAAGCCTCACGTTGCATGTTAAAGCACTTCCCGGTGCATTCGCAAATTGAACCGCGGCGACGCAACGTAGAACGCGACGCCGGAGAGGGGATAGCCGAATGAATGGTGGGGACAGCCGGGCGAGGAGTGGGGAGCCATTGCACAAGCTGACCGCGCAGGAACACGTTCGCGGGCGACATCTCGACTTAGAAGAGAGCACCGGCCGCGACAGGCTCAAATGAGCGACCTGATGATACCGCTTATCGATGCGAACAGCTTTGGGGATAACCGTGCCTATCGTGTGGAACGCGTAGATTAAATCGTGGGAGCGTGTCTGATGCGTTGGGAGAATTGTAAGTCGCTATGGTAGGGTCTTTGGTAGGGACTCTAAAGGTGTAGGTTTAGTTGGGGTTTTGTCACTATTTTAGGATGGTCTCGTAGAGTTCTGGGAAAAATCGATTCTAGTTCGTGGAAAGATAGATTAAAGGACAGATTAAATAGAGAGGGGGAGTATGTTTGATACGTTGATGAAATTTTCGGCTGATTTAACGTTGGAATTACCAAATTACTCAAAATGTTTTTCAGGCTTGTATGTAACAAAATATGTATAATTGTGAATATTTTTTTTTTATATTTATTATCTCATTTTTATTACTGTAATTTATTTTATGTTACTAATTTCAGAAAACGACTGAGATCTATGGTTTCATCTTTTTTAATGCACCCTTTGATACTATTTTTCAACATTTTTTGTTACATTTTTGGAATTACAAGCATGCCATCATTAGAAAATTGTGTTTCAGTGTCGATGTTTTGTCAAATTTTTTAGACATCTCGAAAGATTTGGTTGAGACATGCAAGGATGTGCATTTTAATTAAGCATAAAGCAATTATCATTGAAGCTTGAAAACAGAATGAGAAAAAATTCGACTCACCCTTTATAGCGTGCGTTGATATTGTTGCAACTCCATTTCGCCTCCCATTCTGTAAACATTAATTGAAGATTTCGTGAATAAAATTTGTTTCATTTATATCATAATTATTGTTAAAAATAATTTTATTTTTATTTTTAGAAACGTTATGCTGAGTATGTAATTTAAAAGAAACGATCAATCAACGTTACCTAATAATTTCCTCTAAAGCAAATCTATTCGAGTAGTTTCCATGGAAAAATAAATAAATAACGTGAGGATCTGATAGACGCCTCGCAAACATGAAACCACTAATTTGGTGTGCCGAGCAACGATAAATTTACGAGCAGATTTTATTTAGTTAAAGAATGAAAATTATCCAAGGTGTGTGTGTATTATAGAGTCATCAGTTTTTTCCTCGTGTAACTAAAAATTTATAACATTATTCTTTTTCGTTCCTTTTTTCCTTTTCTAGATTCAGAGAATCATGTGTTTGGTTAATTATAATTTTTTAATCGGTAGCTGTCTTTGATGACAAAATAAGTAAACCATTTTAATGTTCATGTTAATAATAAATTAGGCGAAACCATAACTCTTTGTGAAATGCATTATTGAAATATTTAAGAATCAAATACAATATTCAGGAGAATAAAGTAATTTCGCACATAGAAACAAAGTACTTTGATACCCTCTCACAATGTATGAACAAAAATGTTTGAGATATCCAAAAAGGAAGACGCACAATTGGAATAATAGACACTTCAACCCAGATGGTACTTACAACGAAATATTATAAATTGCTATTCCTTGATATCAATTTTTCAAACTATTTTCTCTATTTATTAGAAGTTACTACAGTTTATGAACATTCAGATGTTACCTATATCTGTGAATATATAAAAGACAAACTCTATTTTGCAACGTTATCTAATGGTCGAAGGGAAGTAAAAAGCACGTCTCACATCCATTTCTTTACAATTGACGAGGAGCTGGTTTACAGAAACTTTTTCAGTGACTTTGGTCCACTGAATATAGCTTGTCTATACCAGTAAAAATTTTTCTTTCTTTATACCCCTAAAATTTAATAACTATTAATTAATAATTGTTTTCCTCGAGTTGTATGTTCTAATAATGATCAGCATGCATTTAATTTCGCTACAATTACTTCCCATGTATTAAAGAAAAAAGCATTGCTAACAGATACTGCTGTAAGATAAACAAGAAGCTCGAAAGCGCGGGGAACAAGCACAGACAAATTGTCCACTATACTTCGCAACGAGAACACAAAAGAGCAAATGCCGCATATTTGATTGCTTCTTACGCAGTGTTATACTTAAACAAGAGCCCAAAAGAAGCCTACAATATACTTTTCACGGGAGGTGAAATTCCTATAAAGTCGTTTCGAGATGCCTCTACAGGATCAGCTATTTACAACATCCATCTGTTAGGTAACGCAGCTTAATTTTCCATGGGAATTAAACTGAAAAATGAATTCTATTATTTGAATTGAGCCTGATATAATTATCTAATTTAACTTAATAAATATAGATTGCTTGAACGCGCTTAAAAAAGCCGCTTCTTTTGGCTTTTTTAATTTTTGCGACTTTGATGTGGCTGAATATGAAAAGTATGAAGACATGAGAAACGGTGCTTTGAATTGGATGATACCTCAAAAATTCTTAGCTTTCGTTGGTCCAAGTACTGAACGTGGCACACCTTGTCATCTACCGGAATGTTATATTGATTATTTTTTAAAAAACAAAGTTATAGCCGTGGTTAGATTAAACAAAAAGGTGTACGATGCATCAAGGTATACATTATTAGTATAAATCTTATTCCTATAATCTCTAGAAATAAATCTGAAATATAATTCTCACATTTTGAGGCTCTTAAATTGGGTTTCAAAATTATACTGTTGTGTAATTGGTTATTCGAAGATTCAAATTAAATTGACGCTTTAAAACTAGATTCACCGCGGTAGGAATCACACATTATGATATGTTCATGCCAGACGGTACGGTACCACCGAAAAGAATACTAAATGAATTTTTGCAACTAAGCGAAAATACCAATGGGCCGATAGCAGTTCATTGCAAAGTAACTTGAAGACCTCTGAATAATATTAATAATAACACAACATAAATAGACTTTCGAGTTTATATTTGCTTATATTTTATTTACTGCTATTTTAGGCTGGACTAGGAAGAACAGGCTCGTTAATAGCCGCATATTTGATAAAACATTACAAAATGATGGCAAGAGAAGCTATTGCTTGGTTAAGAATATGCAGACCTGGTTCTGTTATAGGACTCCAGCAAGGATGGTTGGAGAACATAGAGAAGAATTTATTAACCGCTGGTCAACAATATAAGTAATTTACATTTTTCATACTAATCATATAAACAATTATTTATTATCAAAAAAAAAGAACAATTTTAACATAGAGAAACTACTTTTCACCGTATTAATTTTTAATAAAGAGTATAAAATTAATTTTTATACTCTACCCAGGAGTGGTGTATAAATAACATTGTAGAAATACCTGATTTATGATGTATCTTTTTCGCAGACTGAAGTACTATGGCGATGGCGACGTAATACTGCACCACAAACACGGAATATATTCGATCGCGGACAAACTGGAGAGGAAAATACATTATAACCCCGCGGGAGGGTGTATCGGTAGGTTTCCACCTAAAACCAACCAATGAACATATAAGAAAAAGATATATAAGAACATAAAATTAGAATCCGTATAGTCCATCAAAACGTTTACTTACTTGGGTAAAAATTGATTACCATGCCATTTTCTGTATCGAAGAATTTGAACTATTATTTTAACAGTGAAGTGGAGATCTGAAAAAAGAAAACTATATAAGGAAAAAATATTAAAAATTATTCAATCTAAATTAGAATGAAAATTTTTTAATGTAATTTTTTATTATTCCTACAGGTTTAGTCTAATATAAGGAGAATATGCTATTAAGTACAACAATATTGAAACGGACGGAAAAATAAAATTATTATTATATTATTTCAGAACCTAATAAGTATGATAATCCATCTATGGAACATAAGGGTAGAACCAAACTAACGAGAATTTTAGGTATTCTAATTATTACTATCATTGCTATTACTTCTTTATTATCATACTATCTATTATAATTTTATTTATATTATTTATCAATTATAAAAAGGCAGGAATAAAAAATGTAAATAGTAAATAATATAATACGATACATAAAATGTTCTTTAAATAAAATAATTGATTCCAATCTAAAATTACGCTTTCAACTCAATTTCTTGTAATTATGACGAAATTTTAATAACTTATTACTGCACGATCGTAGAGACATTGACCTTGAAAAGATATTTTACTTTTTCTCACAAAAGGAATAATAATTTTTTGTCATTATATATATATATACGAACCATAAGATAAGATGATTGAAATTTTCATTTCGGCAAAGGCCTGGTGTCATCTTTTACCGTAAAATAAAGAAATAAATCACGAGTATGTTGATACGTGTCGAAAAGAACAATCGCGCCCTAAAACTAATGTAGAAAGTTGCGCGCGCATCTCATTTCCGTTAGTGGTAAATTGTAATTTATTATTATGCAATAATATACATTAAATTTTATTGGTAACTTTTAATATGAAAACAAAAAATTAATGTATAAGTTATTGTTATAAGATTTCAATATAAAATAATAATATTTATAAAAATATAAATATTATTAATTTTCCACTAATCCCTGGGCATCTGCATTCATAGCTACATGTACGTTCAACAAATTCAAAATTAGCAATGAACTTTAAGTTAACTTTAAATAAAATCACTAACAATAATTAGTGATATAAAATGTAAGACAAAACAATTATAATATATTTTGGTAAATATTTTAAGCTTGTATTGTTCTCTTATATAAAAAGAATTCAAATTTATATAGTTTCACGCCAGAAAGTCTTACATGTCCCAAGGAACCTGCGCGCGCATCTAATCTTAAAGAGTTTAATTTGCAATTCTTAAAGTAGATAGCACACTTTAATTTGTCTTTTTTTTTCAATATTTTCTTTACTGCAATACAATGAAAATTGAATGAATCATTAAAAAGGTACTTTTTACTGTATTTATAAAAAATAAACGAATTTTAAGAATATAAAATAATTAAAATAATTAATTAAATAATTTGTGATGTTCTCTTCATTATAGGAAAATTAAGAAATTTTCGGGGATCAGATGAGTCGAAACGAGCTCCACAGAAATACAGAGATACTGATCCGCAACCAATAACACAAGGAGATAGACTGAATGAAATCAAAATGAGATTCAGATCTCGAACGTCGGAATTACGTCAGAAGAATTGCATTGCCTACGGATTGGACGCTTTGAGAAATGCGCGTCGAAAGAAATAAGTAAGTAAATACTTAATAAAAAGAAATTATTTTTATTACATTCAAGTACGAAACGTCCATATTTCAATTTTAATTATAATTAACAATCTCTTAAATCAGACAATATGACAATTTGTTTAAAAAAAAATATACAAGGAATAGTAAAATCTAAACAGTTTCGGAGGAAAATTGATTTATAGAAAATCGTTTTACATAATTTTATAATCCATTCAATACAAAATGATTTGTTTTGTATAAACTAAATAGAGAGATTTTTTAGGAAGAATTATTAGAAATAATTATATAGAGAATACAATTTCTAAAGGTTTCACTGATAATTTTCTTTATTCTTTATTTCTATTTTATTTCTTTCTTTATTTTGTTAATTCATTATTGTATCGATCATGAATGCTTCAGTGAAACTCCTTTAGTGAATTTTATACTCTATATATTTACTTGAAAATAATTTCCACGCAAAACAGTTTGACATAGTCAAATCGACAAAACAGGAGGTATTCCATCGAAATAGGATTTTGAGAAACAAGAACAGCCGCAGTTTCTAAATTGCACACGCGGATCTGCGTCTCTCAAAGCCTTTTGTACAATTACGCATCAATTAACACTTTGCTTCGATAACATTATTTGAATAAATAACGGAATCATCACTTTTACTTTCAAATCGCGGATCGTGATATAATGAGATCACTTATTATTGCAAGTTTGAACTTCAAAAGAAAACCATGTATAATTTAACATCTGTATCCAATGAAGGAAACAGAAGCGCACAATTTACAAAGGTTTATCAAAGTTTTCAAAACCATGGACCATAAATTTCACTAATTCGGTAAACAGGAAGAAAAACTACCACAGATCTGTGCAATCAAAAGTGTTAATCAGAGTAATCATTAAAGTTCATGCTTCACGTTCTATCTTGAACGCTTTCTGCTATTTATATTTTACGATTATTATTCATTACAGATCTTATAATCTCTGTAGATTAACTATCAAAGTTTACATGATACATGAAACATATTCACTTTTATACCCTATGGTTAGCGGAAAATTGGGTATACGATTGTGCAATTTAACATCAATGTGAAGTCAAATTCGTAGAAAAAAACAGAAAAGACTTTCCTTCTGGCATCATAAGCTTTGTGATAGATTCATGGTGTGATATTTCGTATTAAACGACTAAATATTAAAAACTAATCGATTTCTGCGAGTACACTTATAATCACAAGTATTATTTAACGTCACAAAAAAAGGTATACGAAAGTAATTAATTAAATATCGTTTTTTTTGTTTGTGTTAATGCAAAGAAGTAACTCATTTAATTGCATCGCCCTTCGAATTTTCACCACATATCACAATGATCAGAACTTGATAGATAAAAGCGTAGAAAACAGGCCATGAATTAAATTCCACCCGCACCGATAAACATCTCTTTTGTTATTTAGTAAACTTCAATCGTTTTGATAGATTTCTTTGATTTTATATGCAATTCTGCACAGATTGAATGCATAATGTCATTCTAGTATATTAATTACATATCATTCGCTTTTTTCTATTCATCTGTTATTTTAAACATACGTTACAAAATTTTGGTTTACAGAAGTTAGATACCTTTTTTATTTGCATTAAGCACATTATTGTATTTTATCGTTATTGATCATTAATATTATTATAATCATCATTAACTATCAAAATTCTTATTATTCTCTGAAACTATGCCCCTTTTTTTCTTTTTCCTGTTTTATTAACGAGCTCAAGTATTACAATATTGATCGCTCACGTAAGATCATTTTTTTGTTTGTTTACCCTTTAACTATATTTAAAACTTATAACCAAAAGATAAAAACGGTATATTAAATATGATATTATTGGATATTGCAGACACTTGTACCCCTTAGTTGATCGTCTTTTTGCTTTTTTCATGTTTTTTTCCTTTTTTTGTTTTGTTTTATTTCCTCGGTTTTAGGTATTCCAAGGAAAAAAATGTAAAATGTTACAAGCAACAATACATAGTATTCAAAATGATATCGCTTGATTTTCTGAGCTTTACATCGCCATTACTCTTTCAGTAATCGTATTCTTTTTTTGTTTTTATCTAAAATCCCTGTGATTTCAATGTCATTGTATTATTGTTAAAAAAAAAAACTGCATCAGGGTTATGCATATATTTGCACTCTTGTTACTTCTGTTTGCATCATACAGTCTTTTTCAAAGGTGATATTATTATGCAATTTTCGACACAGTTAAAACTTGTCCACTTTTTTTTTGCAATTTTCGCCACAGTTAAAAATTTTCCCCTTTTTTTTTTTTTTTTTTTTTTTTTGTTTGTTTTCATCTTTTCAAAAAACGCCATTTTATCAGTTGCTCCTCAAAGAGCGTTTTATAATGCACCATATTGTATAAATTGTCAACGTCACACCGCTCTATATAAAGTTACACTTGCGATATGTTGATTCGCCATTACTTCAACGATTGCATCGCGTATACCATAACAAAATGTACATCCAAATGGATTTGTTGTATTCGTCGAGGAAGCACGGTTCAATACTACTGGCCGTGCACTAGCCTTCAACTGCTCGCTTATTCTATCCCATTTCGTATAGGCAGTGATCTAAAAAATAAACGATTATTGTATCTTAATCTCAAACACTTACCGATACTTTCATTGTTTATTGTAACTATAAATTCTACATAGACGAATATCGTACCGTAACGGGAGAAGGGGAAACGTCTATGAGCTTTCCCGATTCAGTGGAATTATTTTCTGGTGGAAGAGTTAAAGAAAACTCGCAACGATGATACATATTAAAATTATAATGCCCTGGATAATTTGTGTGTAAAACAAACTTCTTAACACATTGTGTTTTGGCATCAAATAAAACATCCTATAAGCGATAATAGAATATTTAAGTATTTGATACCTTTACTTGCCTTAAACATGAAACATTTATAATCACTTAAAACAAATTTACCAATCCTAAAGTAAAATAATTATAGAAGAAATCCGACCGTCTTATTTTATCGCGTTTGTGTGCGTGAGGACTATGTATGCGCATCTTATCCTCTGCTTTGAAAAACACTCGAGATGGTGCTCCCAAAGCACTCAGCACATCTTCACAAGTGTCACCAAATAATACCTATAATTGTAGAAAAAGAAGAACAAGGTATAGAGGAAAATTGAATTGCAATGAATTTAATAATCCTCTCAATATTGTACTACTCACTTTAAATTAATAATATTTAAAGAGGTTTATACTATACTAAAGACTATTACAAATTATACTACAAACTAAATAATAAAGTGTAACCTCTTTGGTTAAGCAGCGTTTTTTCGGCTCCAGTAAAACCCTTGTTACAGAGCTACCTTCTGTGAAAAGGTGTAATCTCAGACCTCGTGTACGCATTTTATCCCTCATGACATCTGCTTTTTCTAAATACAAATTGTTATGATAGCAGACCTAACGAAATATGATTATATAGTACCAGTCTTACTTTGTTATGCATATATCCTAAGCTATAATAGCAACAAAAAATAATTACGAGTGGTAGAGGGGGTGGTGGTGCTTTTAAATTGTGTTCATCGCTTCCACCTCCAGCACCCATGTTACCAACATAAATGGCCGTTTTTGCTACAAGGGGAGAAGTTCCATTTGGAAATTGCAATGATCCTAGTCCATGTGCATATCCAGGTTGAAACTTTGAGTCAATAGGGAAGTAAAACGATAATCCCCGGAAATTTAACACAAATACCTAAAACCCATAGTCTTTGCTGTCTCAAATTTTTGTTAAACCTTTTACATAAATAAGAATAACATACTTGTTTGTCACTGTCATAAACACCAGGATGAGTTGCTCCAAATGAATGTTCAATCTGTTCAATAGACGGCAAAACTTCTGGTGAATTAAATGGCAAGCCACAGTACTTAAGTTTAACTAACTTCATATTATAAATCTCAATTATTTTAAGCCTTTGCACCACTGGGTCAAATATAAGTCGAACTCCATCATGAGGTAAGTTTATTACTAAATCTACATCTAAAGGATTCTGTAAACCATACATTTTAATTGTATATTAATTACAAAGAAGTAAAAAATACAGTAATTACACATTAATTAAACTTCTATAAATATATACTTACACTATCACTATAAAGTACTTGTACTCCTCTTATAATGCCCACTTGGGATTGTATTATTGACACGGATTGGGAAAAATGCATACCTGTAATAATAACCTTATCAGAAAAGGTGATTCTTCCAAATTTATAATATTAAGCGTTCTAACTATGCAATATTTTAAACTATATGCGCATCAGTAATTGTTTAACATATTTTTATTATTTCCGTTAAATTTATATATCTTACTCAAGCATCAATTTCCAACTAATTATCACCCTGTTAATTGTCAATCTGTCTCAAAAAGTCTCAATAATGAAGCAATACTTGTAAACAATTACATAATAAGCAACAAAATATTCATAATAAGCACCATTTTCTTTGTTTACGCGCGATTGTCAAACGAAGTGTTTACAAATAGAACGAAATAACAAAGTGCGAATGATGACATGACAGCAACATCAATAAGATCAGCTAGACGCTGAAAAACAATCATTCGCTTGTACTTTATCGTTTTCTCAATTATTATAAATTAATTCGATCATTGGAAAATTATGCGTAATTCGACATAGCTGCGATACATCGCGGGTGTTTCGTCACTTGCCTAAAATAAATTCCCACTGCTCGCAGCCGAGGGATCTTTCGGGCACCACCTCGAGTTCCAACATTCTACCGATTCCCTTGGTTCCCTTACTTTAAATTAAACTAGAATAGAGCATATAACGCGTCTCCAAATATCATGAGAACTGCGTTGCTCCTTTGTCTAAGTATCGCACTGTTACTAATCACCAGATAGCCATATTGCTTCCCAAACAATAAACCTCAACACTCTACTCTCACGGCTGGCAAACTGTCACCGAACAGCTGATACGTACCACAAACTACGTGAAATCAAACCAGACTATCGACCGTGTACAGGAACGAGCGAGTAGAACCTTCCTTTCACTTTCTGAAGATGTCGTGGAATAAGCGACTCTATCGACTGAAATTATTGCCGCGAATATACAAAGTCAATCTTTCTTTAAAATTGATATTATTAAACAACAGTAATAAAGTTATTAAACATATAATTTCATTAAGTAAACATTTATTGTTATATTTCTAAGTTATATTATTTTAAAAAATTACGCAGTATCATTCGTAGTAATAATACTTCAAAAAATTTGGCTGATATCGTAGACAAAAGGCACAAATTAAAAGCTTTACTTTTTTATAAAAATTGTAAATAAAGCATAATATGGTATACGAGGAAAATAACTTGATTCGAAAATGTATTATTATTTTCATTAATCACGTGCTAATCGTGTTGACGTATCTTTTCTTCATTCGACCCATGATACCAATCACGTGTACAGATGTGTCAAATTGCGAGATCCAGACTTCGAGACACGTCTGAAATTTTATAAACATTCGTTTCAAATCGTAATTCTTTTCTTTTTTTTCTTTATTTCTGTATATTGCGCGAACGCGTAACTAGATATGTACGTGCTGATTTCGAACAGCAGGCATTATTTTTCTATAAAAATCTGCACGGTATTATATAAATTACGACAAAAAGTACAACCTCTCAGGCGTGGCAATACATGTCAAAAAAATTACGAAATCGTACGTAGCAAGCGTAAAAAAAATGTTTGTTAATGTAATAAAAACTTTTTTGTTAAATCGATCAATTTTTTAGTTTCAGTTTTCGATTTCTTATTTTCGATTTTGGTTTTCACAAAATTATATGAAATAAGTTTGTAATAATGATCAAGACATTCGATGGCTGAAGAAAACTCTGTTTCACAACATACGTAGAACAAAGGCGATACAGCTTCACTTTATTAGATGTCGGGGTTAAAGACCACAGATAATCGAATACTTTACTCTTTGTTAATGCATCGCGGGGGGGCTATACGATCGTAAATATATACAATGTACAATCCAGTAATTAGAAATCTTTCCGCAAAAGAATTGTGCCGATAAAACACTTTCTCACAGCAAAAAGTACACGGAAACTACTCGATGTTTTCTCGGTTATTTATAAAATGGAACAAGGAAACAGAACAGTTCAAACAAACCCTCAAAAAACTTTGATTGTTAAACTTCCTTCACAATGGAAACTATTCAGTTTTTATCAAATTTGGAGATTTGAAAACCTGACGCAATTGATCAAGTCAAAAGACAAATAATCTTCCTTGAGGTATATATGATACATACTTAATGGAAATCATGCGATAAGAAATATCTATCTTAAGATAACAGTCTACAAGATATTTTGCTTGTGGACTGATAAATCGATAAGTATAAAAAGTATGGATACATTTAATTTATAAATTAACAACTGGTAAACATAATTTTGTTTATACTTTTATCTTCAATCAAAACAACATTTTTATAAATATTTAGTAGTTTTTGCAGAATCATTTTCCTGACGTTAATTGAATTTTATCTCAACTCTAACTAGGTCCTAATATATATATATACTTATTTTTTTTTTAATATTTACAAAAGAATATTTTCAGTGAATATTTGCAAAAACACTTTGCATTGGAATTTTATTTGCAAGATGTCGCGTACATTTTTTTCTATCTAATACTAATAATTTACAGAAACATCAATAAAAACAATATAACTTCTAAATCGATTCAAAAGCAATTATCATTGTTGGCAAGAAATTCAGATAAATTGAACAATTTCACGAAGAGGGGCCAAAACAAGACAAGACAGTGGAAGAATGATAATCGAGCATAGCGGAGGTAAAGGTTAAAGCAAAACGCCATTGTTACAATCGGAATACTTTTGCCTTGTGAAATCGTTGTTCGTGCATACGTCGCTTGGTCGTGCCCACCGTGTTATGCAATCAATTATGATAACCATATCGTATGCCATACAGTCGAGCCTCCAGATACGTCAAACTACGCGCAACTTTTCCCGCGAATATGTATGCGTTCTATATTGTATATATTTATGTAAAATATATTGACGATTTACATGACATCGGGTCGGTGCTATCAGAGAAAAATACAAGAAGAAAATCGAAAGGGGAAGAATCAAAGACGAGATACAATGTGAATGATTTCGAGGAACCATTATAAATTAGAACACGTTAGTTTGTGTTTTAATTACATTTTTTAATACCTTTTGCTTTCGTAACGTAGGCAACTTCTTTATTTTATTACCACAATTTCCATGGTGTTTCAATTTAAAACAATCTATTTGAAAGCTACTCTTTTATTGTATTTGATATAATGACTATTTATAGATATTATTCAGTTCCATTTTCTTCTATTTTATATTCTTGTTGTTTATTTAATGTAACTTGTAATTTCAGTGACGGAATTTTCTCTGGGATGATTCAACATAATCAATGACTTTTGACACAAGATTTTCCATCATTCGGGACAAAAACGTTGTCGAAACGGATCTATGGAACCGTACAAATGCAAGATTGTCACATAACAAAAAAGTAGCAGATAACATGTTCGCGAAAATACATTGCGGTGAACGTTTTTGTTTCTGTTTACCATTTGCATATCTCGTTGATGTGTAAACATTGATAAATAATATGACGAAGGGACCAAAAAGCAGAGCAGAGAATTTTGCAATACTTCGACATTATTTTTATTTATATTTAAACAAACACTTTTAATCACATTTTCATATTTTTTGTTGTAGTGAAATGTCTATTAATCAAAATAATGGGAAAAATAATAGAAATAAGTTCGTTCTCGTATCTAATATCGGTCTTCGTTTATATTTGCAACTTCGTTGATAAACGATATGAATATCATGAATATGGATTTCTGTACAAATTTCTGAAAAGTTCGTACATACTCGGATTTGTTTATACACCTGTGTGCACTCAATTGGCATGAGTGATAATTTCAAGGCCGTTGCTTTATCTTGTTCCATTTAATTTGAATGCACAGATGAATTGTGTATTTCGTATATTATATATTTCGAATTTAATAATTCTGATATACTATGTAATATTTTATACGAGGGCTAAGGTCAATCAGGCCTAAGTTGTGCAAAGGAAAAAATTTTCTCTGATAAAAAAAGGGGCAATGTGCACACAACGTGAGTGGTTGAAATACAAAAGCGTTATCACATTTCAGCTGAAAAAGCGTTCGGTCATGATCCTTTTATCGTTCCCGGTGGTTTTGCGAGATTCTTCTTATTCCCGCTGTCTGCCTCGCGTAGACACGCAGAACCGAGTGAGTTAATCATAATTTAACCGGGCGGGGTGAAGAAAAATGTTGAATGCCGATAAACTCGTAACACATTACCTTGAAAAGGGGCACTAGTGAAATAAATCATGGCAACGAAGTCGTTAACTCTTTGATTGCTGTTTTCAGTCAGCAACATTCTCTAATATCACTGAATTAAATTGAGTAACTCAACTTAATATGACTTTAATTCAATCTAACTCAATTTGACTTGATTCAATCCGATCCAGTTTAGTTTAAATAGACTCAATTCGACATGACTCAAATTGACTTAACTCAACATAGCTAAATCTGATTTATCCTTGGCTCGACTATTCTTCTGATTAAACTCAATGTAACTCGGCCTGATTTCACCATGATTCAGCTCTTCTTTTTAACCTGATGAACTCTACAAATTACTTCAACTTAACACAGACGGTTTGAAAACATATGATACTTATTTTACTGTCACGATGTTTATAAAAACACGAACTAAATATCAGTTTATCTGAGGGTGACTTGATCAGTGAAAACAGGTCACAAGCATAATTAAATTTGTGTATCTGGTTGTCTATGGGGAAACCGATACCCCGAAATACTGATATTCGCAATTCTTCATTCCAGGAAATTAATCGCTGCGGTATGATTAAAGACAACTGGGGCCATAGAATCCAAACAAAGTGCGAAGTTGTTCGAGAAATCTCGGTAAACAATAATGTTGTATGAATTGTGCGCAATGGACGGCTTAGATCAAAGTGCAACGCGAGAACACATTTCCTTTCTCTCCGCGATCACGCCTCAGTGTTGTCTTTTTTCTACGCAAATACACCTCGCAACATCCAATGAGACAGCTTGGTCGATTCCTTATACGTAATCGATATTAATTCATGCTCCTTTGTATGCGTGCGACAATGTATATTTACATTTGTCAAATCATAACCAAAGATATACAGTATATATGTATATGCATAGTTAAACATGTAGATAAAGTTAAGGTACCAACTTTATTCGATTTTATAGCCAAATATTGTATATATGTATATAAAAATAAAATCTATTAATTAGGCTTGGTACACTTAATATTGGTTGTAATTTACTTCGTAAAAAGAAAATGATGTAAATTTGTTCCATCTATTTACGAATCTATAGATCTATAGGATATTGAAATAGTATACATTATAAATTTCATGAACACAGACTTTAATATTAATTAATTAATAATGCTAAATACAAAAAGAATAAAATAGTCAAGCGATTGCAATCTTTTTTGGTGAATTTATCAAGCTCATTGTCAGCTGATCCTGCTCCCCGTTAATTTTTCGATCCCATTGCTTGACGAATGCATCTCCCTGCCTGTCGCCTGGTCCGTAGTTCACTGTCTGGCCGCGATAATTCGCGAATCCCACATTTCTCGCGATAAAATACGAAGAAACGACAAATCTATTGAAGTGATTCATAAAAAGAAAAAATATTAGCGTTTTATTTACACACGAGATCTCTGTTTTTCCAGTTTCTTTCCATCGTCGTTTATTGGAAATTAGCACAAACTACATATATGTTGTATCATAATAAAATTCGATACCACTCTTGTCAATTAACAAGTTAATGCATTTTACATCAGGAAAAAGTTTTGACAAAAATTGATTTATTTTTTCGGTATGTTATAGGAGTATTTATTGATGAGAGTAGCCTTTAGTAACTGAATCACAAGAAAATCAGAGTTCGTGCAGTTCTGACCCTTGAAATGTAGCGATTAACATACTTTCAAAGGCAGCGATTAAACATAAATTATTAGATCAGTGTTCTATTAATCTCAGAACTAATAGAAAATCACAACTGTTTCCTTAGCTAATAAAAAAGTTAATTATCTTGCAGATAAGTCTTGAAGGACATTGATACGCTAAGGAATGATGTTAACATTCGCAAGAAGATCATTTTATGCATATATTTAATACAATTTGTGTTTATGGTATAGTTTTGTATTATTATACAATTAATATTTTACGATTTTATTTATTAAAATTATACGTAACGATGAAAACGAAATTACATGTTTAATGTGTCTGATAATATTGACATTATAGTACAATTATATAATTGAAAATTGCAGAAAAGATTCCTGGGATGTTTCTTTATTTCTTATTATCTGTACAGAATTGATTCATTCAGGACAATAATTCTGCCTACGTTCTGTTACTTATACTTTGAACTACAGTCTTATCGATTAGATACAAGTATCACAATCCGCATCGATCCAATGTTCATTTATAAACAATTTTATTGTTTCTGTGACGAGCGTTCGAAACTGGCAGGATTTAAATCTATTATCGGGTCGAGTAGTCGTCATTATTTATTGATCTTCGAGAAACAGAGGGTATATCGATCTATCTATATCTTCTGATACATCATCGTTTATAGACATTTATTACCACGTCTCTCCAATTTCGAAACAATTCTACAACCTACAAATACAGTAATCGAATTAAGTCCTCGAGCATTCAATTTATGACTCGTTAATTTCGAAGATTTCAATTTACCAAAATTTTTGCTACTTCTGATAACCTCATAATTTATACATAATAAATAATCCAATTACCTCATACGATAATCAGAAACAGTCCTCGATCATTCAATTTGTCAAATATCACTCCTTAAAATCCCAAGTTACTCAATCAAGTAACCTAACCATGCAGATTACCCAAACAATGCTCTCCTTATTTATCGTCTTCTTTAGATACTCGTATAATAAATTTATTCCTTGTCCAAATTACTCTTACATGGACGGTAAGAGCTCCTCGATAATCGAAAATAGTCCTGTCGATTAATGATCCAATTGACATCGACATTTCTCGAGATGACTTTAACGATTCCTCGATACAGGTAACCTCACTCTTACTTACCCAACGTCGGACTACAAGCTACTGTGTCCTAACGTAAACGAATCACGCGTGCACCGTGATGATCGGTGTTTCTCGAAACGGTATTTAATCCGGCCAAGAGTGCACCGGTCCGCTCACAAGCTTGTCAGATAATTACGCGACCGTGTTGCGCGTCGTCAGCTCTCTCGGCAAGCGGCGTGGCGTCGCGTGCTGCGCTAGATAGCGGAAAGCGAAAGTGTTCGTGCAAAAATAGAAGAGCAAGTGGCGGGTAACGGTTTCAATATAAAACGAACGGCCACTGCAACCGATTTCGTTTTAATGTGAGCGTGGGTTGATTAATCGCGGAGCCGCGATTGCTTTTACTTCGATCGACTAGCGTTAGTTGGGCGCAGTCCACCATAAACCGTGTGATCGACTGTGTGACGTCCTTCTTGTCCGTTCGGTCGCTTTTTCTACGTGTCGTCGACCGTTACCACTGTGCAAGTCGCCACGAATTCGCGCCACCGTTATCCGATCGGCATCATCGAACCCATAACGCCGTCCATCTAGACGACCTCAAGATCTGCGACTAACAGGGGTACAGAAAACTTGATAGATCGGGCGCGACGTCTAATTTTTTAACATCTGCTCGACGGTCTATTGTTGCAATCGAATCACTGTTCATCGCGATCGATCGACAAAAGCGTTCTCAGGACTAGAGCTTCTTGGTCTTCCTCGCGTTCATCTTCGATCGTTTCCATAGACATTCCAGCCGATAGTGGGACGAATAGCTCGGTATCAACCCTCGTCGTCTCAGCTAGAAAGCCACGATCGGCAAGGCCAAGAACCGTGTCAGTCGCGAACTGACCCGAAGTCCGCCGCCGATTCCGCCGGCGTTCCGCATCGCTCCCCACTATATTCACCGGAAGTGCTCGCGGCCAATCCGCGGGGCGAGTCGTTAGGGCTCGTACGAAACCCTTGTCGATCGTATAAAAGCGAGCAACGCAGGACATGTCGGCGAGAATCGATCCGATACGCTGGTCGAATCTAGCTAGTATCGGTTTCAAAATCACTAGGAGCTTCTCAGTTGCAGCAGCTTCTTCCAGGGGATCATCGGTCATTTGTCTGAGAAGTCTTCGTTGTTTCAAACCGGTCGATTCCGTCGATGTCTTGAGGACCAAGGGTCAAACAGCACGATTCGCGATTTTGAGCCGTCGAACTTTACTAAACGCTAGCGAGATGCCACATGCAATCGATGTCTATTATCCGCGGTAAGTACTTACAGTGTTGGACCAACAGGCCCTGACTCCATTTTTGTTTCGGAAACCTGGCATCGGCCAGACATCTTTTGACTACATTGTTCGTGGGTTTGGTACCAATGTTTTGAAACAGAATTGAATGAATTGATCCATTTATTTAGTTTTTAATTTTTTTTTTATTGATATCTAGGTTGATTCTTAGGAGGATGAATGAAGACTTGAAGTAGAGACTGAATGGATAATTCGTGAGATTATTTGGTATTTTGTATTTGGTACGAACGGAGTTCTATATAGGAATCGAAAAAATATTTGAATTGATCAGAGGCTTTGTTACTTTCTTCAACAAGAAACAAATGCAAAATCTAGTCATGGTTAGGTATTTGATTCACTACCTTATCTTTAAAAAATTATATGATCATGACAGTGCAGCGATACTTAAATTTGTAATATTCATTTCTTTGATCTCCTGACTTATTTTATAGAGAAATATAGCAATTATTGCGATGACAAGGAAATTGACTCGACAAGGAAAAAGTTTGAATATCTTGCAGAGATGAAAGTTCAAGAATGAAAATTAGAGATGTTAAAACGAAATGTCATTCGAAGTATTTACGTTATATTCTCTCTTTTATGTTTCGTACCATTGAAAAGTCAAGTGCACATAGTAACCGAATTGTTTTATACCTCATTCACACAGTTACTTATCGTAAAATAAATATTATTCTTGGTAATACCATAAAGAGGCTAGACGTCCCTGAGGTATCGTTAAATATTACGCAAAATTATAATATCAGTTCTGTGTTCTTATACTTATACACATTATTCTACGTGTTATTCCATGTTTTTAAAATTGGTTCCTCGATGTGGAATCAATTTAGGTTATCGACGGAGGAAATTCTTAGGCAATTGTTGCATAAAGGGGTTCAAACAATAAGACCCAGCCTTGAAACGTAGTCTTAGCAGAGAAACTATTCGGTTGACTCTATTTGACTGCTGTTGCATAATGTTATCATAATGTCGAATGCAACAGAATCTTCGTTGCGCAATTTGCATGCGCTGTTTGTTTACAGTGTTATTAATGGCAATTTTCTATACAGGAGGCAACGTCTCTCTTTATCGTCAATTTGCAATGACTGGGCAAGATAAGTTTTCTAAACTTAATATCATCGTATTAATATAAACGAGATAAATTAAGCACATGATGCGTACAATTTAGCAAAGACGATGTAGAATATATTACTACTGCGTTCGATGAAATTGTCGGTCCGTGTCTTCCGGAAACCGATGCTCGCTCATGTCAACTCACATACTTCAAAGTTGCCTCATTCAAATTACTACGATTATAATTTGAAAACTGCTTCGAATTTTTTTAATTTACAAAAATGATTTTTCTCGTTAGAAATTTCTTTTCACACGGCTCTGCTACAGATCTGAACTTCCAGCAAGTGAATATAATTTTATTATTTTGTTACCAAAAATATTATTCAAAAATTTTATTAATTTTCCCATTAATTCAGGGGTTCTGCTGATAAAGGTTTTGCTATTTTGCTGGAAGTAAAGGAAAGTAATATCGGGAAATTTTTTGCGTGTGGTATTTTTCTTTTAGTAAAAATGTATTCCCTAGTGTCTACTTACTTTATGTTATGTTCGCTGGAGCGTGAACATTTTTATAAATGGAGTCAGAGCATGTACTTATAAAGGCAACAGGTTTGCTGGTAAAAGGAAAGGGTACATTTTATCGCATTACGATGGGAAATGGTAATGCAAGAGCATGAAAGTTGCGAGATCTTTCTCAACATCATCAGTGAAAAGAAAACTCCTGAATATCGCAAACATGTTTAGCCATAGAAGCAGGCCAATACTTCGCTAACTAACAACGCGAAAATTCATTTTTCATTTAATCAAGGTTTCTATAGTGCTGAGGTAAGAGCTAATCGATCGACGGGCTTCTAACAGGTACTCCACAGAACCACCTGTTACTCTGCCCCGATGCCTGTGATTAGGTTTTAACATGTTAGAAGTGAACATATAAAAAGCAGGTATTGCAACAGGTTGTACAAAATGGAAAGAATAGATTGTACTAAAAATATTTTAATTATACAGCTGGAGCACAAGGAACATACAAATGAATTGGAATTGTAATATTTAGAGTAGGATATTAAACAAATGTTTGATTTATTTAATTTATTTATAAGAGGATTAAAAAGGGTGTAAGAACCCGAGGTTTAATTTGTACTATAAAGATGTTAAATTGGTACAGATTAAAGATGGTCAAATACTGATATAAATTTTATTTTATTTTCAGGGTGTCCACACTGGTCACCAACGTGGCTAAAAATCCATCAATCGACAACAATTACGAATATATAGGGAAAACACCTTTGCTGAACGCACTGACAGAGCCCCTTGCTCCAAAACTTCGCTCATACATCGAAGAATGTGCCACCCTTTGCTGCCCCAAAGATATCTATATCTGCGATGGAAGCGATGCAGAATATGAACACTTGTTGAAGCTTATGGAAAAGAATGGAACCATATCGCCTTTGCCTAAATATGAAAACTGGTAAATGTATTTGAACATGCCGACATGTGCAGCTTGACTCATATAGCGCACTAGAATTTTTATGAAGTCTTTTGAATATTCTCCTAATTATTTTGGACAGTAGTTGTTTGACTTTTTCCCAGCTTTTTCTCGAATAATAGTGGCTTTATACGAATTAGATAATGCAAATAGGATATACAGAATGTTCAAAGTACAGTCCACAAATACAGATGTTTAATTGTTTAAATGATAGAAAGATTCAAGAGGACATTTTCAACGTGGCTGATTCTAACATTTGCACCACTTACTTTTAGCTGGCTCGCTAGAACCAATCCAGCAGACGTAGCCCGCGTCGAGAAACGTACTTTTATCAGTACTGAATCCAAACGCGACACGGTCCCAACCCCACGTGATGGTGTCATTGGAGAATTGGGTAATTGGATTTCTCCAGCAGACATGGACAAAGCTATTCTTGAGCGATTTCCGGGATGCATGAAAGGTAGCTTTAAAACAAATTCGTACCTATACCCTCGATCAAGTCAATAAATTAAACAAAATGACAATTTCACTTTAATAATTCAGATCGAACAATGTACGTTATCCCCTTCAGCATGGGTCCAGTCGGTTCACCTCTTTCAAAAATTGGAATAGAAATCACGGACTCTGCGTATGTCGTCTGTTCCATGAGAATTATGACCAGAATGGGGAAAAAGATCCTGGAAACCCTGGGCAATAACGATTTTGTCAAGTGTTTGCATTCTGTCGGTGTTCCAAAAGCTGATACGAAAGTTGCGATTAATTCATCCTGGCCTTGCGATCCTGACAGAACGATTATTCTTCATAGACCAGCCAAAAATGAAATAGTTTCTTATGGGAGTGGTTACGGTGGAAATTCTTTGCTTGGTAAAAAATGTTTCGCCCTGAGAATTGGTTCAACTATCGCCAGAGATGAAGGCTGGCTCGCAGAACACATGCTCGTACGTATCACTGTGTAGAGTAAATCACTATTTCACACTGCATGTAAATTGAAAAACACGTTCCTGATGATTATCATAAATACCAAGATTTATTTTTAATATTTATCATACGCTATTGGTGACTCGGAATATGTTTAAGGCAATGTAAGGTATACTATTACCTCATGAACACTTTTCATCAATTCCACTATTTTCACTCGTTACTTTGCACTCACGAACACGTCAGTCAACTAAGGGATCCTGTATCAGTTTCATTTTGTAGATATTGGCAATCACAAATCCAAAAGGCAGAAAGCGTTACATTGCTGCAGCGTTTCCTAGTGCTTGCGGCAAGACCAACCTAGCTATGATGCAGCCGACGTTACCAGGATACAAGATCGAATGCGTAGGTGACGACATAGCTTGGATGAGATTCGATCAGGAGGGACGTCTTCGTGCCATAAACCCAGAAAATGGATTTTTTGGCGTAGCCCCTGGAACCAGCTATGCCACTAACCCCAATGCCATGAAAACTATCTTTAAGAACACCATCTTCACCAATGTGGCAGCTACTAATGACGGTGGAGTTTACTGGGAGGGATTGGAAAAAGAAATTAGTGACAATATTGAAGTAAGAATTTGCTATTATATTTTTTTGTTCTATCAATGAATTAAATTCCACGCAATCATCGTATCTGTTAATTGTATTGTTTAAATGATAATAATTGTATAGATCACCGATTGGTGTGGCAACAAGTGGACTAAAGGATCCAAGACACCTGCGGCACATCCAAACTCCAGATTTTGTTCTCCTGCCAAACAATGTCCTATCATTGATCCTGCTTGGGAGGATTCAACTGGTGTACCCATAGATGTTATTCTTTTTGGAGGTCGAAGACCGGAAGGCGTACCTCTCATATACCAAGCTAGAAATTGGCAACACGGTGTTTTTATCGGAGCTTCCATGAGGTCTGAAGCTACTGCTGCAGCAGAACATAAGGTACTAATTTAAATAACAATCATTTACACGAAAAGAATCAGAGAATTATTCAATACTAAACTAAATTTATTTATTCACGAAATTTGGAAGAAAAGATGGAAATTCTTTATCGTGCTTGTTTACTCGAACAATTTTATTTTTGAAAATTAAGTAATTTACTCGATAATTAATAATTAGGGCAAGGTAATCATGCACGATCCATTCGCTATGAGACCCTTCTTCGGCTACAATTTCGGACATTATCTCGACCACTGGCTCAGCATGGCCAAGGTAAAGAATGTAAAGCTGCCAGCTATATTCCACGTAAACTGGTTCAGAAAGAGTGCAGATGGCAAGTTCCTTTGGCCTGGATTCGGGGAGAATTCTCGCGTTCTCGATTGGATTCTACATAGAATCGATGGCGAGGACGTAGCTGTAAATTCTCCTATAGGTTTTCTACCGAAACCAGGATCGTTTAATTTGGAAAATGTAAATGGTAACGTAGACATGGAGGAATTGTTTAGATTACCAAAAAGCTTCTGGCAGAAGGAAGCTAAGGACCTTAAGGAGTACTTTGACGCTCAAGTTGGCAGTGACTTGCCTATTGCTATTCGTTCAGAACTTGAGCTTCTAACTTCCAACGTGGATCAACTTTAATTGATCTACTTTTAATCCTTCGTATCATGAAAAATTTGATTAAAATTAATATCAAATTATCTTTTTTCTGCTTATTGAAAGTAAGGATTTTTAATTAGAACTAGATGAATTTTAAAATTATGGATTATATCAACATTCAGATTAAATCTGAACAAAAATCGTGATTCTGCTTGAATTACTAGCTACTAGTTCTTTCATTATATTGAATTATAAACGTAGTATTACGACGATCTTTATCTCAACGTCAAACACAATCACCATATTCATTTGGAACATTCTTTTTGATGTTTTCGTTCAAAGAAATGTCTTTCCTCTTCACTTTTAATACTTAAGGAATATTTTTATGACTGTTTAAAGCTAATTTTCTGTGAGAGATCGTGTGCGAGGACAACAGTGTGCAAATCGAATAAAGTAGTCACTAAGTTGTGACAAGAAAGGATATGTATTTTGGATACACTTTTTTGAATAAAAAGTTTTAAAAAATACTATGCTCTTCGTATTTTTTTAAAACTATTCATTATGTTGAAAATATTTTGACAGTGATTAAAAATAGTTGAACCCTGCAAAGAAATTCACATGAATGTTATTTAAAATAGACGATAAATTGTTCTACTAATCATATTTATTGACCCATTACTTTAATTGTCTAATAAGTATTGGTGAAAGACTTCATATATATGACGTTTAAAATTATACATTCGAATATATGTTACAAGTTATTGCAGTCGTATACATATATAATTAAGATTTTAAGAACGATTTAGTGTATAATGTAATATAACTTAGACGAAAAAGATGTCAATACTTTTTATTGAAATTTAAACAAACTTTTTATTTCAATGTATTATGCAATATATAATTATCATGATAAAGAATAATGCAATTGAAATTAAAAGAAAAAATAATATATATATTTTGCAAAAAATACATTATTTTTAACAAATTTGTTGAAATTTTTTGACAAAAATATTCAATGTTTTATTTTAATTATATTATACCCGTATGTTAAGTGTTGAGAAATAAGTTGACGAAGACTCTCTTATAGGTCGAAAATATAATACTCTATATATTATATATTTTGAAATATATTATGCAATTTTAAAAGAATAACTAATAGGAAAAAATATTACACTCGAAAAACGCGTGGAATTTGCAACAGAAGGATTTAGATGTTATTCAACGCTATTTCTAGAGTATTCCACTTTCTTAAACAACTGTTTCCTTTTTAAAATATTTGACGAAAAAAAAAATAAAAAAAAATAAATAAATAAATAAAAGAAAAACAATCATTTTCAGTATTGTCATATTCTTAATACATATAACATTAATAAGTTAGAAGAAAAGGAGATCCTTTTTACGAACTAAATGAAGGTAATCACAGTTCTTAAATATACAAAGAGAGTTAAAAATAGAAGAAATTTATTTATTACTTCATTAAAAATTTATCGGATAAAAATGTTCAATCATCATATAAAGTTTCATATTCTTTTCTTAATAAAAATGATTGTTATTTGAATTTTTTTACTGAATAGTATGGAATGATGCAAAACGACGCATATCCCTAATATATTGGTAAATAATTTCTCATTGTTATTTTTTTTTTATCTTATATTATCTTGTGCGAAAAGTAAAAATACTGTTTTATTAATTTTGTGCCACTATAAGTTTGCCTTCATCTAGTTCATATAATTAAATACTACAATTTCAATAGTAACATTCGTTTAAATTCACAATTTGCATTGATTAATTTCTAAAACCTTCATGTCTATTGGTTATTGAAATTATAATGGAGAAATTCTTGACATAGACAGATATATTATACTTGTATTATGTTCCATTTTCATGCAGTTCTACTTTAAAAATACATCAGATTACGTCTATGAACTTGCTCCATTTCTAATCAAAAATTTGTTACTTTGTGAACAATGTTTTATGTACAAGTTCACTTCTACTCTCCTACCATGTTAATACATTGATCATCTAATTAACATCAGTTACAAGTCCACAAAAAATCACGTAATATATATGTATATATTTCAGATTGATGAGATATTTTTTTCAATTTCTAAGATCAACTAATATATTCTGACATATACATTGAAGACTAGAACAATACATTTTTCATCAGTCCTTAGTACTTTGCACCAATTTCGTAAAATTGCACAGATAATAACTGTGCCTATTCCCTAACTTTGTTTTTCTTTTTTCTATTTATTTTACAACGTTGCTATAACTACTGTACAATTGTATATTGTAATTTTACAGTAACTCACTTTTGGTTAACAAATATATTAACATTTTCGTGGTCGCGCTGCTTACTAGTATCGTACATATTTGACGCCATTCTTGTGAGCATTGATACATTTTTCACTTAATTCGGTTATCTTTATGTTCTTGTTCCTTTTTCCTATTTATCAAAATTCTAAAAGAGTATCCCCTGAGCCTTGCTAAAATTATAAAACAAAAAAAAGTGAGGGCCACGAAAATGTTAATAAACTTTACACAATAATAAATTTTTTATAGCCGTTTATATACCACATTCCAATACCTCGATGTTTTAGTTAAATTAAGAGTTAAAATTGTAATAAAATGAAAAATATTTATACGATGAACGACTAAAAATTCGCAAAGGATTTATAAAATTTATCATACAGAAAATTTTAATTTATATAAAATGAAATTCAGTATAATTCAGTATAATTACCACATATATCATATATTATTATATTATTCAAAATAATTGGTAAAACTTGCAAAGTTTCAATTCTAAAATTTGTATAATTTAAAATAAAACCTCTCCGAAAGTAAGTATAAAAAGAAATAATCATTTTTTCTTAATTAATTTTCACGTAACATCGTTGTATTCGAATCCTTAATTTTTTTCTTTAAATATAGTGCTGACTGCATCTACATTTTTCACATGTTTTATATTAAATGAAAGTGATACATTTTATTACAATTTTCTAATCTCGTAAGATTGGCGAATTTAAATATACATACTCAAAATGTCAATGCACACTATTCCTTGTTAGTTCATAATACATTTTAGCAAAAAATATTTGAAATATTATCGCTTTACGATAATTCATGAACACATAATATCTAGTTTCAGTGAATATATTCAATTTCAATGTGCGTAATGAAATAATTCACCTGATATTTGACAAGACATATTTTCTTAAGTAATAAAAGATTAGTGCACTATAATAATGTCTATGGAAAATTACCTATATGTATACATAATCTAAAAAATATGATTTCAAAGATATAGAGAGCTTTAATCCTTTACAGTACTTTGTAATTCTTATTAGATACAACGCAATTGTAATGGCAAGTATTGAAAATTTAAATGTATCATTATTTTAATTCACATTTCAGTGTTGCGTCAATGTTTTAGTTCATTAAAACTAATTTAAAAGTTCATTTTACTTGTACAATTTCTAAGTCCTTTATGATCTTAAGAAAAAGTTGTATATCACTTTTTTCTTTCTTTTTTTTTTTTTTTTTTTTTTTTTTTTTTTTTTTTTTTTTTTTTTTTTTTTTTTTTTTTTTTTTTTTTTTTTTTTTTTTTTTTTTTTTTTTTTTTTTTTTTTTTTTTTTTTTTTTTTGTTAAAATAAATCTCAGGTACATACTTTTCATCCATTATGCTTTTTTACCAACGTTTCTAGTGCTCTTGGTATACACAGTGGGCACAGTATTTCTGGCTTGGTAGTCTGAGACAACATTTCTCCTAAGTACTGAGCTGTACATGGAAGAACTAACGATTCGGATGTTAGTAACTCGGTTTCCATCGTTGAAATTATTTCAGTTTTATATGTGGATAGTGGAAAATGATGTCCACACGTGAATATCATTGTGTCTTCTTCAGTATCAAGAAATCGGTACACTGCATCCGGATCCTAATTTACAGTGAATGTTTGTAAAAGTAATTGTTTGTATGTATGGTATTTTAAATAGTAAAATATTTATAATCTACCTTAATATGTACAAATGATTTGGAGTCATGAATGTTAGAAGATATAGTGCTTATAACTCCTTCCATCATTTGCTTTGATGTATTATTTTCACTCGAACCTGGATATCCAGTTAGTGGTGGTCCAAAGTGATCAGCCGTTAAACACGATAACAATTTAATAAATTCAGGCATAGGTTGACCTACGACACATTTAATAATGCAATATAAAACGCGACTTGTAATTTATATGATATTTTAAAACCTAAACTTCCTTACCTTGGTCAATATTATGTAATAACATAGAACATACTTGAAGACAAAATTTAAGAGAAAATAAGTTAACTGCAATGAAACTTTTGCCTTCTGTATTCTTATTCACATCCAAATATTTGTCCATTATTTCTTGACTGTAAAAATATTTAATAATTATGACAGTCTTATGTCAAAATATATATATAAATAATGTGTATGCAAATAAAACATTTATAATGAACTTACCAGAATAATAATAATCCAAGAGGATAAAAAATAGATTGTATGTGCTCTAAAAGTACATTCTCTATGCTTTGTATTGGTAAATCGTGTTTAATCCAAAAATCAAGAGCATCTTGTAATATTTTACACTTGGTGGTATCAGCTTCATTTTCCATGTTATTCAAAAAAAACTTGATAACTTTTATAGATTCATTAGATACGCCATTCTGGCGTGTCTGTATAATTTTCTTTTCATTAGATGATCCAATGCTTTTAGATAATTGATCCATTGTTTCTTTCATAGGTGTAGACACTCCAGAATTATCTTCAATAGATTTTTTTGGTTTTCCTTGTTTCTGTAGTTGATTCTCCTCAAAAATAAAATTTTCCATCCATTCCTCTGAATCAGAACTAGCATCAGAATTAAAACTGTCTTCGAAAATACCCATAGATGTGTTTTCACACTTAGTGTCTTTACACAATTCTTCTAAGCCACCCTGACAATCAAATGTGTACAATTCTTGTTGAAGCATTTGTAAATTATTCAGCGATTTACTCGCAGGAATTTTCATTTTATTTTTAGCAGCACAATCCTCAACAGAATCGATTAAATTCTTTTCTACTTGTTTGTTAAAAAGTTCGGTGTTTTTCTTAACGTGATGTGTAGACGAAGATTTTTTTAAATCAGGCTCTTCTACAGGCTTCCGTTCCATTTTTCCGTGCAAATTCTCAGACTTCATTTTTGAGCAAGATTGAAGACTCAGTGCATGTAAAACTTTTAATTGATAGGAAAAGGCATCAGAAATATTATGCTGTAGCATAGCTATTTTTGAGCAAGCTTGATAATTTCCCAACTCTGCACACTAAAAAATAATACATGAAATTATAAAGCATACAACATTGTACTCATATATAGCTATAAAAATATAATTTTAATTTTAGTCTTCTTAAGGATTATGTAGAATATTAAAAAACCAACCTTCTCTATAACTCTCGAGGAATCATATAAACCAGAGAAATATTCTAATGCATAATGTAGAGTCAATTCTCCTGGTGATTTTTCAATAACACTTAAAGGGCGAATAATACCCGCCAGAGAAGGTATGTCATAACTTTGATAAGAAATAATGGGAGCAGGAATATTAGGAACTTGACTAGGCACGTCCAAAGCTACATGCGATGCGTGAGGGAGCCGTACAACTCGCTTTTTAATCAACACAAGCTTATCGTCGGTATCACGTGTATCTTTTGCAGGAAGCCGGCCTAACTGTGCTCTACTATTATTACCCCAAGCTAAAACTGTACCTCCTGAAAGAGAATACAGCAAAAAATACAAACTTTATCAATGATAGGACCTGAAACTATTCAAGGATAATGATCATTTTGGCTTTAAACTAATTAAAAAATTTGCGCTTAGAAGCATAATGGGATAACAAAGCTAAGAAACTCATTTTTCTGCAGCTTTTATATTTTTTTAAACAATATGTTTTGCAATTTAAGTACCTGGTTGAATAGCGATTGTATAATCGTATCCACAGTAAACTCCAACAGTTTTAATTACAGGGTTTATTTTTTCCTTGGATTCGCTACATTCTGATTGGAAGGATTTGGTTTCATCATGCACATTTCCATTTTTCTCGTTTACTACGCAACTCTTTATTCCGCAATTAAAATCCTGCTCTTCGTCTACTCGTTTATAGGCATTATGCCTTGGAGGTACTTGTGCAAAAATGGAAGCAGGATTATAGCACAGTGGCGTGGGAATTGGTACTTCCCGTCTGCTACCATTACCTATCTGACCATCTAAATTTCTACCCCATGTATAAAGCGATCCGTCTTTCGTCACAAGAGCATTATGATGACAACCAGTTGATATCTGTTGTAATTAGTTAATTGCATTATAAGATATGAAGATGAAAAAGGAATAAATAAGATAAAATGATTATCTTGTTTAAGAAATAGTTAGTTAGAATTAAAAATCTTATGACAGACCTGTATGATATCCCCTTTAACTAAACTCGTATCTACAATGGTTGGCTTTAAATGTGTTTGAGCCTCTTCAAGTGACCCAACATTTACATTTTTTAAACATATGTTATCCAATTGTTTTCTTCGCGATTCTGTACTGATCCCACTTGCTTTTGTTTGTGCATTTTTATTTTGTGCATTATTTTCTATGAGTTCTTCATTTGTATCATTCATATTTGCAGAATCTGAAACTTTTTCGAACTCATCAATATTTTCAAACTGTTTCACAATACCGTCTCGTTGTTCCAATATTCGAGTCCGTTTTTGTGTTTGTGCTTGCAATCGAAGAACTTGGGGACTAGCTCCCCAGATATATAACTTATTTGTATAACTAACAGCAAGCTAAAAATATGACATTATATTATATACATATATAATCCATTTTCATTTATTAAAATTATAACGTATAATCATAATAAAATAGAACGTTTTTTACTTACATTGTGAAAATATCCAGTTGTGATAAGAGATATTCGTTCTGATAACGAAACTTTAACTGGCACTGAACTTTTAACATTATTCCCCACGCCCAACTGTCCAAAAATATTACAACCAAATGCATATACAATACCCTCTGCTGAAAGAGCTAGTGTATGTGCATGACCAGCACTGATGTAACGTATTACTGTACCAAGTAAAGAGGTAACTAATGTAGGAGTCATTCTTTTGTCAGTACTACCATGACCCAACTGACCATGCACACCCCAACCCCATGTAAAGACTCTACCATCAGAAGTTAATGCCACAGAATGATATTGCCCAGTTACTGCATCAATGATAACTTCTTGAGCCAAAGAAGTAATCAGTTCAGGAGTTGGACACTGTAAAATTTTACCCAAACCCAATTGTCCAAACTGACTTGATCCCCACGCATAAACGCCGTTATTAGTTACTGCCAAAGTATGACAGTGACCACAAGATACACTAAGAACTTCAAGTTCCATAATCCCAAAGAAAGGTATAGCTTGAGGTGAACCATATCTCAATACAGATGGACCAGTTCCTAATAATAGTTAATGTAAATATAATATACATATCAAAACGTACATAAACTTATGCATGTATATTTCGTATATAATCACCCAAACATCCTTGCACAGAACTTCCCCATGTATAAACATTTCCATTTCTGATAAGAGCAACATGAGAAAATCCAGAACATAATGGTCTTCTTTTAAAATCAGCACCAGAATTAGTATTATTATGATCCTACAACAAATTATATAAACATATAATTATCTATTATTACAAAACTTTAAGCAGTTTATATGATAAATACCTTCTTAAGTCCTAATAATTCAGTGTTACATATAATAGATTCTTGGTGTAAAATAGACTTTTTATAAATTAAAGTCAGTAAAATTAGTAAAAAAGTTTCTATGACTTCCTCTACTAATGCATCAGCCTCATCCTAAGAATAGATATCAAATATATGAATAAACAAACAAGTTACTTAATAAATAAATCAATTATACATACATTTTCCACGAGATCTATAGAATCACATTGACTAGATTGAGAACTATGCGATGTAGTTCTATGGCGTAATCGGCATCGCACTACTCTAGGTCTTATCACTGGATTCGTTGGATCGTATAGTGTTACTAATCTCTAAAAGATATTTATTGTATTGTTAATACGCGAAATTATCTGTATTATAGTATCATGAATCTGACTTGGATCATACCTGAAGTACAAAAATTTGCGAGTTCTGAAGATTATCAAGAATAAATGACATATGACTTCTAGCTAACTCAGGATATATTAACATTGCTTGCATTAAACTTGGCTCACTTATACATATCAACAAACCATCTGAAACAAAACAAATATTTTATAAATGAATGCATAATTATTTTCACACCACATTGTAATTTTTATAATTATATATTACATGGTGTTGGTTGGAAATTGCTTGTGCTGAAATTATGTATTGTCCTCATAAGAATATCTAACATTTGTCCATAAAGACCTTTCTGTGTAGCTAAGTGATGCAACACTTCCCATAAACATGTCTGTCCAGCGATATTAATTGCTAACAATTCATCATAAAAAGAATTTGTAGATAAAAAATACCTATAATTAAAATAATTCTTATTAAATTTTATTTCTATAATATATTTATCAAAGTTGTATAGAAATAAATTTTAATCAAATTCTTACAAAAATTCTTTATATATAGCCTTTGATTTTTGGGATGAAACCCTAAGTGTCCGTTCGATAAAAGCGAGAACACATAAGTTAGAAAGATGTATTCTGGGTGCAACAGGCAGTTCACTAATAGCTGGAGAAGCTAAACAATGTGTGAGACAACGTAATAAGTCGGCTGTATACCCTACAGATGCAAATTTCAACATACTCTTCATTATTCTACACTGAAAAGCAGAAAATATAAAAATTATTTATAAATTTAAATAATAGCGATTAATATCTTTTTTATATGTATTTACTTTAGACAATTTATAGCAAGTTACAGCACGTAGAAATTCTTTATTTGTTAAAAGTATATCACCAGCTTGCTCTAATAATTGTTGTGCATTAATACCAAATACTTTAGCCAATTTTGCTGCTTTTTCAAGTTCATTATGTTTCAATACTAATTCCATAAAAGTTGATAATATTGATTTCCTGCAAATCAAATAGTACAGTTATTATGAATTTGTACTAAATTTATAGAGTACAATAAAAATATCACACTGACCTTAAAACAACCTTATATACAGAATGATTTGTTACAATTATACAAGTATCCACACGAGGTAATTCAATTTTAATATCTTTTATTCCCTTTGGTAACATGTATTTATTTTTAATTTCCTCAGAAAGTATTGTTGGTGTATTACTTGTACAGTCAGTTGCTCTGTACACAGCACGTATAACTTCCCTACTATTCACTAAAGAAAAGTGACCAACAATGCACTCTGGATTAAATTTACCATTATCACTGTTACGATATTCAGATAATCTGTCTGATATTACATACATTACTCGTTGATTGACATCAGTAATAAAAAAAAATCGTTGTGTTAATAAAACATTTTTACATGATTCAAATACTTTATGTGCTGATAAAGGCATAGTAGTAAGATTAGGTCCATATACCTGTAATCATACAATTGTTTTGTCATATTTATTAATACACATAATTAAACCTTAATAAAATATTTTTATACCAATATTTGATTTGTAATAGAATCATAACATGTATATAATTGTTGTCCTCCTCTATCCATCTGAGACATTAGAAATACTTCTTTTGACATTGGTTCTGGTATTATTTGATCTTGATTCTCTATAGAAGAATCAGAATTAATTGTTGTATTTTGAGTATTGCGATTACTTGTAATATCTATAAAATTAATAAAAGAATTTCATTAATAATATATAGTACAATTTGACTTCAATGTTATCTTATATATATGCACAAACCATGATACTGCAAATTTTCTCCCAATGTCTGACTTTTTGTTTCTATCAACTTTTGTCTGAGTATTGCAAGTTTATCCACAGACAATTGTTTCAGTCCTTGCAATCTAGATCTAGTAGAAGCAAATATTTTGGTATTATCATACATGTTATCATTTGTATGTAATGCGTTATATGACTCTCCATTCTCCAAATGATGTAAACAACTGTATGTACGTTGTTCTAAAAGTAATCTCCACTGTCTCCTAGATTGATTTGTTATCAGAAGAGATACAATGTCATTACTTTGGTCACGACAAATGTGCAGACTAACAATATTTCCCACAATCTGTGTAACATTTGTTTGGTGACCACTTTCAAGATTTATAAATATAATCTCTCCATATTCAGTTCCAATAATACCAATTTCTGCAGGTACTATTGTACTTTGCCACCATACTATTGCAGTTGGCCTAGAAAATTTAAATCATAAAATATATAACAGAAGAAATATTAAATCGTGATGATGTTTAATTAAAATCTCAATCTTAATATATACTTCGAATGAGATGATTGTGAACTAATAGAGGGAAAAGAAGTTATATCATCAGTGGTCCATCTTTTGTCTTTCTCACAATTTTCATCTACAAAGCACAGAGCAGGAATTATATAAACAGATCCATCAACACTTGTAGAGAGCAACCATGATCCCATAAAGTGAAAACACAGAGCTGAAATTTGCTTATGCGATCCTTGAAACCAAGGTATCCTTTTAATTATTGCAGCAGATACTAAGTCTTTCTTATAATACAAAAAAATTTCAGCATTTCCAGTTGTAAGTGCTAAAAATAATTTCTTTCCATATTCACATTGAGCACTATGATGTATCTCTGTTGCTTTTATTAAACATTGTAATTTAAACAGACTTTCTTCAGTAAAACTTGTCATTGGCTGAAAGCCCTCTGTACCTATTTCTGCAATCATTATATTTAAAACTATTGGTTATACTACCTGAAACATAAAATGTTACAATAAATTTTCTCACAGGATTTTATTATACACTATAAAAATAAGTAATACAATATATATTTTCATAAATCACAAAATTAATTAATTTGTACAAAAATAATGTAATTGATAAAATTCAGAATTAAGCACCAAATATTTAATTTTATGTATTAAAATGTATTTATTATCAGAGTATAATCTAAAGAAGTAAATCAATAACAGATTTCTACAAATTTCTATAAATTAAAAATATTGATGATTTACACATAAAATCAATACAATTATTGACTTCAAATATATGTAATAAATCATTTGTGATACATAATCTAAGAAAACATAAAAGAATTTACATAAAACTTAATGCTTATATTACGCTGTTTGCTATTACGGTCATGTAATATATTGAATAAAATATTTAAGAGGATATTGCGAACTATTATACCTGTGTTTATGCACTTGTAAAATAATATAGTTATCTAGAAGAAAGCTTCGAAATTCTTGTTGTGCTAAAAATAAATGATTGCAGAAAGAATCTAGACCAAATGTCACATTGCGCATTCCGTCGGAAAGTATTGTTTTTTTTTGGTACGCAAGAAATGAAGAAAATTAATTATTTACAGCGCATTACATTTTTACAATAACACCGCCGTCAAATTTCTAAACGTCAGAATATCAAGGTTAGATTGCATTACAATCATCGGCATGACCATCATAAAGAAATTAAAAGTACTAGGTCATTGTGTAAGATATCACTAACTTTCTTCTTGCACCATTCAATTAACGTTTATATAAGTTAAATAAGTTATCAGCTTAATATGTTAATAAGATATTCTAAACAATAAGACTAATATTTAACATTGTTTAATTTGTAATTTCATACGTACAGCATTTATTGTATTGAAATAGTATATTATTATATGTCTTTAAGGGTAAGGAATATGATTCAAATTGCTATATACAATAAAAACCCTAGTAGAAGGTATAATTTTGAAATATTTTAGTGTTTTTCAAATAAATAAAATAAAGTTGGTGCTATTTGCAACATACTTCGTACAGCATTGTCATTTGAAGTGCACATTGAAAAAATGGTGGATGGTGATAAGAATCGATGATTTAATGTTAATCGTTTTAAGTGTAAAGGAGTTTTAAGTAAAATAGTATATTGTATCTTTTACATAACTTGAAGAGCTGAGAATGGGTTCAAATAAACGGCATAAGACCGAGAAGAGCCGTGATTCTAAGAAGAAGCGTCATCGAAGCCGTTCACGAAGTTACACGCCTGAACGAGAGAAATCGGAAAAGCACAGACATCATAAAAAGCATAGGAGAAAAGAACGCAAGGATTATGATAGCGATGGTTATTATCTGATTCATTCTTTTTAAATTATATGAATACATTATACGATGGCTTTTCTCAATATCGCGTATTTTATTACAAATTAACTACATACGCCGCTTTATAGATATAATTGTTTATGGGTGGTTAGTTATATTAAATTTTTCATTCAACTTTGTTATTTCTCCGTCGTTATTTCAAAAGTAATATCGTGTTTCATCTGCGCAGAAACGTATTTATCGATTTCAAGTACAAGGTTAAATAGCTTGGAAGAAATCAAAGTGAATAATATATATATTTTGCCTAGGTACATAAGCATTTACTATGATGAGCATACGATATTTAATATCAGTTAATACTATGTTTATTTCATTTCAGTTGAAATAGTTAATGCACCTCCACCCCCAAAAATCTCTAAGTCTTCACATCCATCAACACCTCCACCTCCTGAAATTTCTAAACAGCGTAGTCCTTCGCCAAACAAAGGGGGAGGAACGCAAAGCTCTCTGTCCATTGAAGAAACTAACAAATTAAGAGCAAAATTAGGTTTAAAGCCATTAGAAATTGATAATACTTCAAAAGATGACCCTAACAAGATTAAAGATGATTTGGGAGAATTTTATCATAAGCCAGCTCCTGATGTTAATGAAAAATTAAAAACTCAGAAGTTAAAGGAAAAACTTGGTACTCAGAAACAAAAAAGGCTAATTGAAGCTAATTTAGCCAAAGTAAAAAGTTTGGGTGAATGTGAGTCTGATGATGATACCAAAAATTGGATTGATAAGACCAGGCGTTTGGAAGAAGAGAAGAAAAAAGCAGAAGAAAGGGTATCTTTAAAATGATTTAAATATCAATTATACAATTAATGTGTTCATATCTAATATTTTAAATTTATGTTTTAGGCAAAAATGTTAGATCAATTAGATGAAGAATTTGGCATTGGAAATTTGGTTAAAGAAGAAATTCATGCAGCTCGTAATACAGCTTATACTGAAAAGAATTTGAAGGGCCTCAAAGTAGAACATAATATCGTAAGTATTTAGGTCTATGAGAAATTTTTAAAATTACAGTAATTAAATAAGTTTGTTTAAATGATATTTAACAGGAAAAATTTGAAGAAGGTAAAACACTCGTTTTGACATTAAAAGATCAAGAAGTACTGGAGGAAGGCGAAGACGTACTCGTTAACATAAATATAACTGATGAGGAACGTTATCAACGTAATATTTTAAATAAGACTAAAAAGCCTGGTTATGATGCATACGATGATGACAATTTTGATGAATATGGTTTTGCAAAAAAAACAATTTTGGAAAAGTATGATGAAGAAATTGAAGGGGAAAAAAAGGATACATTTGTACTAGGAACTAATATTAAAGATGTTAAGCAGAATAAACTTGATTATGTTAAACAACGTTTAGCAAATAAACGACTAGAATCGTTACAATTAACAGAACCGAAATTAGCTAGTGAATATTATAATGAAGAAGAACTTGCAAAATTCAAGAAACCAAAGAAAAAAGTAATTCTTTGAAATAAAAATTTAATGTTTTCTTTTTGCATAATATTCGTATTAATACTTCATTACATTACAGGTTCGAAAAATTAGGAAGAAATTAAAGGCAGAGGATATAATTCCAGAAGATAATGATTATCTTCGAGATCTTGGAAGTAGAAGAAGCAAACGAACTGATGAAGTGAAAGAAAACGATGCTTTAGACGTAGATGATATAGGAGGTATTTAGCATACAATTTTAGAAATTACACTAATATCTTAGTTTTCTAATTTCATAATGTTGTTACTTACTGCACTATTCGATGATTTATAAGTTCATTTTTACCTATTCTGAAATATAGCTCCCACTGAAGATCTCAGTGGTATCAAGTTAGAAGAAGATGACAAAGAACTAGAATTGCAGTTAGCATTGAAGAAAACCCAACGTCTAAAAGAGTCTCAGTCATCAAGTATTGAAAAAGTCGTTGAAACTATAAAGCAAGAGCCTATAGGTACTGAAGAAAATCAATCTGGAAATATCGTTCTCAATGCCACTGCAGAATTTTGTAGAACTTTAGGAGATATTCCGACTTATGGTCTTGCCGGAAACAGAGAAGAAAATGGACAGGAACTGATGGTACTAAGTGTCATATTAGTATATTCTTTTTTAAACCTTTTTTATATCTCTTTCTCTTTTTAATAAAAATTATAGGATTTTGAAATGGATGGTGTCAAAGAGGAACCACCTACAAATGAGGAAGAAGATGATGGTCGTGGCGCTTGGAATATGGTACATCTAGGTATCTCTCTTTAATATCTAAGTATATTGTTTGATTTTGTGTATCTTTATAATTATAAAAAATGTATTTCATATTTTATGGACAGATGAAAGCACATCAGAACCTATAGCAATGGAAGCTGCAATTTTAGATGCAGAACCTTCACTTGGACAAGGGGTTGGAGGTGCGTTGAAACTCGCTATGAGCAAAGGATATTTGCAAAAAGAGGATAGTAGTAGACCATCCGCGTCTCGTTTCGCGCATCTTCAAGCTCAAAATTATTCGATAGAGGACAAAACCTATGGGTATGTATAGAATATAACTATTGTTCAATAAAAGAAGCTTTCTTACATATTTGAAAAAGAGACAAATGGATGTAAGAAACGTTCTTCTATTGAATGTATATCAAGCAAACTTTGTTAGACAAGTCTCTAGTGAATTTCAAACTGTTAGTTAACAGTCGTAAATAAAGAGCTCAGATTTCGGTGCTCGGAAAATGGATGATCTGCTACTGCAACAAGAGATTAACTACTTTGTCGGAGATGGTGAAAGGCCTGAGAAGAGAGTAGGATTGATAGAGGTATGTTTATATTATGCGATTCTATTGTGCCAAGCGAGATGTCTATGAACGTTCTAGACAAGTCCAAGTATGGATAAAAGTTACGTTAATTTAATTAGTAAAAGAAATTGCTGTATACATTGGCAATATATTTTATTTATTACATTTTGCACTTGCATGTTTCAAACATGAACTATAAAGTAATAATTTAGGATAAGGAATTTATGCAATATAATATAACTTGAATTTCAGCTCTTTCAAAACTCACTGGTTCGCGTTTTGTTAAATACATCATATAATTTAATCTTATTCGAAGGAAATAGTATTTAATAATTTATAGTAATGTATTCAATTAGTTAAATTTAAATATATTATGTAATGAACATTTGATTGATTACGATAGCTATGTTGACTTGTTTAGATTCGTCGTAATTTAATCGCATAATGTAATGTATCTTGAAAGCGTGATAATTTTTTTGTTCGTGATAACGTAAATTACGAAACACCGAATTCATTGAGCTACTAATGATTTTTATACTTAAAGAGTGTTCACTATTATCTGAATTTCCCTGTTTTCCGTTTGTTTTAGAGACGATGATAAATTCGGCAGAAGGGATCGTTTTAATGGTCCAACATCAGAGTTCAAGGAGAAAGATGGTTTCAAACCGAATGTTAAGTTGGAATATATCGATGACGATGGCCACGTTTTAAGTGCAAAAGAAGCTTTCCGATATCTCTCACATAAGTTCCATGGGAAAGGTCCAGGAAAAAATAAGGTCTACATATATTTTTTCTATATTTTTCTTTTTTCGCACTGTAAAAAAATGTGGATTAAACATAACCGTGTAAGTTATAGGTTGAAAAACGAATGAAAAAAGCAGAACAAGAAGTTCTTATGAAACGCATGTCATCTACAGATACACCTCTAGGAACGCTTAATTTATTACAAGCAAAACAGAAAGAAACTCAGTCACCATATATAGTACTCAGTGGAAGCAAACAAATGCAAACGTAAAATATTTTATGTTACTTTAATAAGTATCAAAAATTATTTCATAAGCCTTATGATTATTTTTTTTTCCAGGACTAGCATATCAAAGTCGAAGCATTAAATCTTAAAGCTAATTCTGACAAGAATTGTATATAATATAGAGACAGGAAAAATCTCTTATCTATACATTTTTTTCAGACAGAGCAGTACAGAATATTAAACATTAGAAATTAATCGTCGTAAACTAAATAATATTACACAGTTTTCTTTGAATTGTTAATCTACTTACACGATAATAAAATAACATTTGTGAGTTTATAAAGAAAACTAATTGTTGTTTTTATTTGACGATTCAAAAAAACATAACGATTTAGTAATATAATTATTTATTTTACATTCGTAGTTTGTTATAAGGAAACATTACAGTTTTAATTTTAATAGATGATATGATCCAAATATTGTTTATATTTTACAGAAAAATTTGTAAAACTTTACTTACATTATAAATCAAATATATTGTATTGATACATGAAATCTTTGATATATTTACTAGAGAAAATTAAATTTTCTCAGTGTATATAAAACAGTATAAATTTATATCTTGTCATCTTCTTTCAATAATAATATTTTACTAACTTGCTATAACTTATTCTCTTTAATTCTGTTCTCTAAATTTTTTATTTATGTATATATCTATATACGTACGAACATGTTCAACTATGTTTGACAATTTGCCAAAATTTTATATATTATAAATTGACTTTGTTATTTTTGCTTTTCTTCCATCATCTACTGTATGGTATTAAAATCATTGGTATAAGTATCATAAAAAGGAAGTGCGAGTGTTTTGATCGACAATCCGCTTTTATAGACAATAGGGCGTTTGTTAAAAAATGAAAATCGATCATTGTCGTATCAAAAAGTAGTTGTGTATAAGAGAGAACAACGCATTACGAAATGTGGAGCTAAAATGTGGACTATAATACAGTTTCATTAACAACTTTTCGGGTAGACTTTCTTCAAATTAGATACCTTTCAAAGTATCTTCCTTGAGTGCAACATCATCAGCATTTGTTAGCTTATTCAACAGCCACATGTTCTGGCTCTGAGTTCACATTTTCTTCTTGGCCGCTTGGGCTTGATAACCTAATTGGTTTGATAGATTTCAATTTCGTCGTTCCACCATATCTAAAATTTACGTCACTGCAAGTATCCAGAGGATGCATTATTCCAGTTAAATTCGTTACATTGTCATCGCTTGTAACTTCTAATTTAGTAATCGGTACTTTTGTAACAGATCCTAACTCGTATGCTGACTTCGACGATTTCAGCTTCATCTTCGAATTTAGTGGCAATGAAACTGACTTCTCTAAATTGGTTTCTTCAATTTTCAGATTTTTGTCGTTTTGTACTATTTGTTCTTCAGTTGGGTTCACTGTATCGGTGATTTGAATGTCTATATTGACCGTTTTTGGATCATTTTCGTCATTTTTGACACTTTGATCGTTTGCGTATTCATTCCTAAGAGCAGTTAGTTGCGCTCGTTGTTTCTGAATGTGATTGTGCGAATTTGAGAAGAATGACGAAACTCTCTCGAGTTTGGTAGCCAAGTTTGGTTGACTTAATGTAGACTTCAAAGGATAGGGAGTATCTACTACATTGTTATTTTTTAAGAAATTATGAGATTCTCTACCAGTGGAATTACTCTTAATCATTGCTATTTTGTTATTATTTTCAATCACTTTCAGAGGGTATGATCTACCAATTGTACTTTTTCGTTTCTCAGCTAGACTTAACTGAGCAATTATTCGACGGATATCTCCAGGAAATTCAATGTCTGGGCGAGATTCGGATAGTTGTTGAATAAACGCACCCAATGTGGCGACAGTTACTTCTAGACTTCGATTTTGAGACTCAAGTTTAAGCAAAGTCGATTGTTGCACAGATCGAGCTGTCTCCAAACGGTGTAAATTACTCATGGTAATCTGTAAATATAATATTAGTTATTTAATTTTGAAAGTAGCAAGATTTATGTTTTAAGTAGATTAATTTTCAAAAATTTTACTTCAAGTTGTTCAGTGAGCTGCGAGACTTCTTGTGTGAGTTGCTTGTTATGTAGTTTGAATTTTTCCAGACTTTCGATTTGTGGTTTTACTGACATCATTTCTTCTTGCAATACCTGGTACTCTACTCTATACTCATTCAATTGCTTTGTAATTTCTTGGTCTGGATAAAACATGCGTTTCATTATTCGATCTAGAATTTCTTTATCTACAGCTGGTACACGCGTCTAAAATTAAAAAAGAAAATCATTATGAAATAAGTTCATTTACTAATAGAAATTTAATTTCAAAGAAAAAATTCTCTTTACTTTGAGGTATTCCATAATTTCTTCAAAACTGTCACACTTTAGTAATTGTTCTTGATGTTCTTCTAATAATGCCATTGATACTCGGAAAAGTATCTCAGTGCTTTCCAAGAAAAGTAAATCTATAAAAATAAATATATACAAATAGTATTTATAAATAGTATTTATTTTATTCAACTTACCAAAAACTCTAGTTACAAAACCAAGTGGAAATTGACTTGCAAATAAAGTTAATAACCATGGGGCAGCATATAATGTAGGCGAAATCTCATGTTTGTCAAAATGATTATAAATTGCTGGTAACCTATCGTGTAATAGTCTGGATAATTGATACAGGTACAATTGTAATGCTGCCATGTCGGGAAGATATAATTTTCGTAAACCTCGTCTGAACATTAAATGCCGTAAGAGGAAAAACGCTTGATCTTCTGACATCTGTTGAAAACAATATTGAAAAGAAAAACAAAAATAGATAATTAAATTACAATATATTAAAGAAAATTTGTTGGTAACAATTCTATATTAGTTTCGAAAATATCTAGACTCACGTGCAAAAGAAGAACACCGGCTACAAAACTGAGACCTTGACAATAACCAACTTCATGATCTAAAAGTGAATAAGCTTTCAGCAAATTAAACAAAGCTAATTGACCAGGCCCCAAAGGTGAACTGAAATACGGATGATTTGGAAATGTTCGTCCTAAATCTATTAAAATTGCATGTTGCTGGGACGTAAGCTGTTTTAATAATAAATCGTATGGTGTATTGTAATTAGGGAAGTCGCGTGTGTCTATTGGTGGTTGTTTCAAGCAAAATTGTTCAGCTAAAAATTGCCATACTTCTCCTCTTTTTCCTTTTGGTACACCTATATCAATATAAAGTTTTATGAAATCCTACAAGCTACTATATTTTCAAATATTTATAGATATATAAATTTCTATAATTATTCACATACCTTGTTTAATAGCATGTAAAAGCATTTGATTATCACATTTCGTAGAGACTCTTGACTCTTTGCTTACAAGAAGATCCCATACTTCCATTAACTCACGAGCACAACTACTAATTTCATCATACTCTAATTTTATTCTTTTAACAGTCGCTTCTTCTTGACGAACTGAAATCAAGTACATTTGTAAGTGTATCAAATACTCGTAAAGCATTATATTTTTTTATTATTATTATCATCAAATAAAGGTATTAAATATAATAATATATTACCTCTAAGCCTTGCATTTTCTTTCTCCATTCTTATAAGTATCAATTGTTGATTAATTGCTTTTTTCCAAAGATCTCGTAATTCTTGTTTCGTTCTGCGTTTTGGTGCCGCCTGCGGTGTTTTGATGTTACCAATATTACCCGTTTTATCACTTTCCTTTTCATGATCCTTATTGGGAGTTACAACTCGATTCAATATAGCTTGTCTCCATGAGCTATTTGAATGTACTGAATTGTTTCCATCTGTCTCAGTTGGTGACATTTTTGGTGAATTTCCTACCTTCAGAAATCTAATAAAAAATACAATAGTGATAGTTATTCAAATATAAGTAACAGTAATGTTATTTAAGTTATATGTAAGATAAAAATTATATATACATGTCCATCATAGAACTCTTTGGTCCAGTGTTCACAGTCAATTGTTGTTCAGGTGAAACTCTCAAAGACCTGGGTCTAGAATCAGGTGAAATGTCCACTATAGACGACTGTCGTGAATTATCGGGGCTTTGGCTACCGCTTTTTTGTATCACAGTGTTAAGATGGCTCGTATCTTTTAAATGTGAACCAAGTCCAAGGTCGTCCCGCGAACCCTTTCTTTTCATGAGATTGTCAAAACTATTTGTCAACGAGCGCTTTGCTTTCATAAATATTGTGCTTCCGACACCAACGCTTAAGTACTGATTAAGAAATTCACTTCTGCAATATAGCATAGATTGGATTAAGTCATTACAGTAAATTGTGTTTCTTAAAATTTGTACTTCTTATGAACCTCCTATGAAATTTTTTCTTAGCAAAAAATCTTACCTATTTTCGGCTGTATCATGAACATGCCTGGCCTGTTTTCGGTTGCAATGGTCATTCAACACCCTCATTAAAAATTGATTTTGCTCACGTAAAGTTGTCCCTGCGGAGCCGATAGCTTCAATGGCTTTGAACTTATTAACGACGATTTCTTGCTCGTCTTCTGGCAGCAGTTCGATTCGCGAAAAAATTATATGTTGAGTCTTCCTGTCGTTTTGTCCTAAAACCCACGTAAAAACATGCGATCTGATGTTATTCGTCCCACAATTTCGTTGCAGATTAAAGGAAAAAAAGAAAAAGATAAATATACTCATGATTTACCTTCAATTTCCTGGCATAACTTGTTATACCAATACATGGGGCAGTGTTCGCATGAAAATACGGGATATCGTTCTTTCTTTGGAACTTCATATGTTCCAACGAAGGCTTGTGAAATTGCTAAAACAATTCGTGTATTCTTTTAAATTGTTTTATGTTTTTTTTAATGAACTAATATTTTTAATATTCTTATATTGTGTTAAATCAAATGTACTTGATTAGAAATAATGGAACTTCTATATTTTTAGTCGAATATACAGGGTGTTCTATTAATGATGGAATCTGCTTTACCGACGAAGTCAACACTGAAAAATGACAAAGAAGTTACTCATCATGAAAGTTATCAGTATCCAACATTATTTTCTTAACATTAATTTCTTATATTAATTAATACAAATCGAATAAATTAGACATTTATATGGTCTTTTTCCTTGTACTCCAGCACCGAATTTATTCTGTCAAAGCAGACACCATCGATTAAAAATAAGAAACTAATCTTACCAGCGACAAGATCATCCGCGACAGATTCCGATTGGCACTTGAATACATAGCCGACGAAATAATCCATATTAATCTCTTTGCAAATTAATCCAAAGTGCTCCGGATGCTTAACACCTTGCACGCAGCTTGCCACATCTCTGATTTGCTTGTGAAGCAGTACCTGTTTTCTATCCAGACTGATTAACCTCAAATCATGTCGGCCTACCTAAAATTTAAAGTTAAATCAGGATATGTTTCGATACATATTCCATAGGTATCAAATCGAATAATTTCAAACCTGAAAGAGCATCGTGCGATTGTGATCATCATTCGCTTTCACTATAGAATCCCTTCTAGGATTTAAAACGCTGCCTGTTGAGGAGGCCCTATTTCGCATAATTTCCGGTACTTGCATGGAATTATTATTTGCAACATCCCGGTTTTCTTCACGCTCATATTTTTCCGCAGGGTTGGCATTTTGCGCCTTTGGAAATGTTTCCACAGATCCGCTAAGTATTGACGATAAACCTAGTGGATTGACCGGTGATATGATTCCGCTTGCAGATACATTTTCAATGCTTCCAGTCTCGCTAGCACTAGATTCCTGAAATAAAATATTTTGCTTTTTTCTTAATAATGTAATAAACTTATTGATTTAGAAAATAATGAAAATAAAAAAAGATGATTTACCGTACTATTCCTTCTGTTATTGGAAGACGTTAAAAGTGATTGACGGTGATACTCGGCGAGAAAGTTATTCGCTGTTGATTTTGATTTCTCAAGACCATGAACACGAAATCTTATTAGCGCGTCGTCTACAAAGGTCTCCGATATCTTTGGGCGCGATACTTTGATTTTTCCTACATAGAGCACCTGAAATTATATTTATAAAAAATTGATTAACAATTTATAATAATAATAATAATAATAATAATAATACTAATAATAATAATAATTACAATGGCAGTAAGTACACGTTTTATTTTTAAAGAATTTTAATTTATATTTTATTTCACCAATTGTATACAATATCATACAGTATTTAGAAAAAAAACGAAAAAAAAAAAACAGAATCTTTGAAAATCACCTCAAAGAAGTGAGAAGAACTGGGAGATATATCAGCACCTAAGGATGTCAAGCTGGCCGCACTGCTTTGCGATCTTTGAGGGACTTTCCTGCTTTCAAATCGGGACGAGACTGAGTGTTCCTTCATGTCTCTTAAGAATTGTTGGACCTGGAGACAAAGGAGAATATCGAATTATAATCTTTCGCACATTAGATTACAGTATTGAAGTTACAAATTGACAATAAACAATAATCGTATTCGTAATTTTTGCGATTACAATTTTCGCAAAAAATAAAAATTATTAAAATTTAATATTTCATTTTAATTTTAAATTCCTAACACCCACAAAGCACGACTACTTACACATTAGTATACTGATTTATATAATTTAGACTGTGATTATACAATCGTGTGGTGCATGTGTATGACCCACGCGTCGTATGTCGGTGATATATTTTTACGAAGAAAATTCGCCCCAGAAATAATCCAGGATGTAGTATCTTAAGTGCACCATTAATATACAAAACTGATTTCGCAAGAAAACGTGCACCAAACGTGGCCGATGGCCGTGGACCAAAATAAATTCATTTCAGGAGTATTCACGGACCGCATGGTTTTCTGTTCCTTTTCCCTTCATTCTCACATTTGTCTCCCCTATTTTCTATTCTCTGTTAAATCATATCATATTCCTTATTTGTTCCTCTTTTTATTTCTATTGCGTTTTCTTTAATTCCTTTTGTGACTATATTATCTTTGTTATTACTAATTTAGTCTTTAACTTTTTCATCTCGTTTCTACTATTATCCTTGCTTCAAATATTTCGATTCATGATTGGTAAGTTGTCTCGAATGATAAAACGTTACTGAAATAGCGCGACCTCTACGTTTCATACGTCTTAGGAAGTAACTATTTTGTGACTCTGTTACCACTCATAACTTTACTCTGTTATCGGCGGAACTTGTACAGTGCTGCTACCACATACCGGGCGGCTGTCGAGGTATTAGGTTACACCGATTTTCAGAAGCAATCTCGCGTGAGACACGCGAGATTTTTGTCACTTTTATACTACGGTGGATGTGTAATGCCACGCACGCTCGAATGGACGCATACACGTATACGACATTGGGAGAGAAGAGAAAAAAGAAATGAAAACAAAGAAGGGTAAACTGCGAGCTCTATAACCGTTGGAAGTTTGAATAGGGAAAACCTGACAATCGATCTCTGGCGTAACTGTTCCTGACGTTATAAGCAAGAATAAAAGCAAACAATTTATTATGCAAACTGCGGTTGGTTTCGATTACACGATATATCGGGAGTGATTAGTAGGCTGGAGATGCGTCGGATGTGGGCTGATGCGATCGATCAGGAAACAATTTGTTTCAATGAAAAAAAGATTATCTTGACGTGTGGTTATCTCAACGACCGTGAGAGGTCTTCTCGGCTACGACAGAAAATCTCACCAGCGTAATTGCTGACACAGAAAGCAGATCTGCACAAAGCGGTGGGGCTTCTTTTATTCAATTACTAGTCGAGCTTTCTTTTTATTATCTGACCGTCTCTTTCTTCTTCTGCAGAATATGACACGGCTGGCATTTGATACACACTCGGCAGCCATTTATACACAGCGATGAATATCGACGCAACATTGAAATTTGATTTTTTCGGTACGATAATTCAATGAATTTTCTCTCTCTAATATTTTATTTTAATTTTATGAATCAAAACGTGGAAAAATATTTAAAATGAATAGAAATGCAAGTTTTATTTTTACGTCTGTTTCTTTTTATACGTTTATATTTTTAATTACTTAGGTGGCACAAAAAATGAACAATCACCGGAAAAATTGCATCACAAGGATGAGGAAACATACTGAAATAAATCTAGTTACCTAATGCACTGGATATTGTTAGAATTGATAAGCATATCTATTGAATTGTAAATTGCGATTTAACAGGTCACAAGAAAACTAACTTCTCTGCATCTCCTTTTCACCATGACTGTACTACTTCTGAACTCAATCATACTTAATAAGAAGACTCTTAAATTGGATATAAATAACCCGTTTCCTGTCGTCACATGTAACTATGCCAGCTGTATAACAAGAAATTCTGCAAGGTATCTATTACCTCTCAAATGAGTTCACTAAACAATTCACAAAAGGGACGAAAAAAAGAAGATAATACTATTAAATCTTTTCACTATGAAATCTTTGACGTTCAATATTTTTTCAATGACTTTCACAACTGTTAGAATTTTCAACTCTCACGTACATTGTAATATTTCCGTTCTAGCTATAAATATCGTCAAGAAGATTCGCAAAATTTCCCAAGGCTTGAATCACACGCGTGCCACAGCTGTTGCGTCTCTTCACTTATTTGTTGATACTCACTTCGTCCACTCCCAATTGATCATCGTCAATTCAAGGTATGTATATAAGCACGCGCAATCGTCAGAAAGAGCACGAGTCTGCATTGTGACGCTGGTCGATTGACTACATGTGGAAATTGGATTGAATGTCTTCAGGAGCGACCCTGTGAACCGATTCATCGAGTTGCAGTTAAATGGAAACGGGCATTTCGTAAGATCATACTCCCGAACCAAGGACGCTTGCATGATCGACGATCGTGAGAAAAGACACGGAGGAGAAATCGTTTCCGTCCGCTTTTCCGACGCGCTTCACGGCCAAGAATAAATGTAACCTGCTGCACGCGCGAATCTCGTGTCCATGAATGAAGCTTCGTTGGAGGGAGATGGTAATGGATATTTTTCGACAACTGGGATTCTGCTACATCACAGAAATTTTTTCTCAATATACATATGATCTCGTGAATAGAATCGGAAGGATGTATATACCGCTATCTTCATTTAAAGATGGAAATTATTGGAACATGCTAATTATTTTTAAATGTTTAAGAGGAGTGGTAAAATAAATTCTAACTTCGTAGTTTCAATTTGTTCCGATTAATTTATGATTTTAATGTAAATTTTATTCTGATTTTACGCAACTCTCGCTTCATGAATTAATTGCTCATAAATATTCATTGTACGTGCGATCATTTATCATCACAAGTAGTTACTTTTAGAAACGGAACATTGCAGTTACTTTTAGAAACGGAACGAAGGTAAGGCGTGTGTTTCATGAATACAATATAAGGAGTCCATGAAATTCAAAGAATAATTTCTTTCATTTCATCCTTTTTTAATTACAGTGTTTCGTTAACGGCTACTACTGACGTATCATTACGTCAATTTTCCTCGAGCCACGCAGCTAGATATTAATTACCGATGAATAGAGATTTGATGAAAACTGTGTCAATGGCGATTAAAGATCTGTCATGAATGACAATAAATACAGATCTAATCATTCTTCTACGCAAGTGGAAACTTAATCTGGTGGAATTAAATCGTATAATTAAAAACTTATATAACACGTATATTATAGTACACTATACAGTACATACTACACTCTATTGTACTACTATACGTATACTTAGAAATAGTTTATAATACTTTATACTTTAATATACTTATAATACTGTATACTTTTTAATACTTTAGAAATAGTTTAGTTTGTAGCGACCAACGTTCACACCCTCACCGCTAGATGGAAAACGAAGGTTCGAAGTTTCTCGCAAGTCCCTCGGTGAATCCTCAACTTCCATAAATACAAGTTTCAAGCAGAGCCTGCGGTGCCCTTAACGACTCCACTAACAGGCCCGGAACAAAACAACCCACTACATCCCTTCTACCTGCTACATAACATAGCACGACGGGGCCACTAGTATACCATCAAGAAGTCACAGAAAAAAAATACCCTTAACTACCGTGAGTTGGTTTTCACTTTTCTTGCAATATTTCATTTTATCGAAAAATAGAAAAGAAATAAAAATATTTTGACATATATACACATATTACGAAAATTTAACTCATGGAAGTGCGAATGCAATTATAGTTTATAAATTCTAAAATTTATTATAAATAAAAATTAATATCGTTAATAACAAATTGTTCACAACGTAAATTTATGATAGAAGAAAAAAATTAATAAATTCCTGGCTTTTACATGAATTTATAACATATAATTTGCAAAAAGTTTATAAATTATTACACTTATTGATAATAACAAATTATTGGTTATTACTTGAACTTACAACAAATTAATGTTAAAATGTATTACTAATTTACACAGTTTATAAATTGTTATACTTATTGTTAATAACAAATTAATATTGATATTAACAAATTGTTCGTAACGTATGTTTATAGTAATAGTGAAAAAATTAATAAATTATTGAATATGAGAGTGGAAAATTAAGAATTAATAAAATCAGCGAAGTTGTAAATTTTTTATTGGGGTGGGGAACTCGGCCGATCGGAGGCTATATAATGGCGCTGAGCCCCTGCTTGAGCCATTTGCCGCTTGGCGTCGCGCGCGTACATTTAAATTTTTCCGTGTACGCGATGGGTGGGGGGTCAAAAGTGAGATTGGGGCTAGCCACCCCACCCTCACCATTAAACAATTTAATCATTTTTTTTTTTGTTTTCAGATATTAATAATTTTTTTTTCGTTTTCAGGTGTTAATTATTTAATTTTTATTCAGGATTTAATAATTTTTTCTTTCTTCAGATTTTTTGTTGCTTTCTATTTATTTTCATTTGACATTCGAATATTTCATATAATATTCGAATGATTCGTCGTTGGCTTGCTCATATCTTATCGTGGGGTTGTTCGTTCTATTTGTTTCCGTCTTTATGGTTTATTTTCATTTCGTTTTTATTTTCATTCGTGTTACTGATCCGTTTCATTTCAGGTTTATATTAACAATAATATATTCTGTTTTAGCTTTTAGATTTTCCAGTTTTTCAAGATTTTGAAGGTTTCATACAGAACACGTCGTTGGACGTGGCGGGATGCGTGCGTTTAGACTTAAGTAGTTATAAGTGGTCATAAGATAGATTCATAGACTAAGTCTTATGTGAGCGCTATCCGTTCAAAGGTAAGCCACCTAACTTGGAGCGAATATATATATTTTCCCTTATCCCTCTCGCTTACCAAATAGAACATAATTGTTCTCGCGGTAGTCGCAATCGTTCTTAAGTACCGACTAGCCTGCGTGACGTACTCTCGTGTACTCGATAACTCTATGTTTCGTAAGTCATCCAAACGA